GCAATGAGACTGCCATATGAATTGACCCTTTTTTGTCGCCATGTCTGCATGCACGTTATAGTCGGACTCGCTTCACCTAAAAATAGTACGACGATGCTTGTGCGTTCAGGGCATATATCTCGTTCCAAGACCTATAGGCCAAGGAAAGTGTCCGCTCTCCCCAGGTTCGCGGAGCTTTCGGATAATAGACCCGGCGAGATCGCAAGGAACGCCGCGTCACATTACGAAATAAGTGAAAGCTGAAAAAGGCTGCGGGATGAGTGATTGCCGCGTGATGTGGTGAAAATGCCGGACTTGGAAATGGGTCTCGGCCTTGCTTACGCACAACATACATACAACACGGGCTTGCAAAACTCTGCATGCGCGGCGCTCAGCGATAGCCTTCGGCTTTGCGAGGTGGGGAAGTTAGTTTAGACGTGAGCCCGGTTTAGATATGCCAATGATCTGTTTCCTGTTGTCATTCTCGTCCGACATGGTTGCGCGGCAGTTCGGGTTTTGCTCCCCCAGACACGGTTCCATCGTCTCACCAATCCGAGTAAGCTTTGAAGGCGAGTCCGCGCTGGCAATATATGTCGCTTCTACTACCGGAGATATTTTTGGAAACTTGGCAAGTCTCATGCCTCCCATCACTAGCTCGTGAGGGGGTGGGAGGTCTTCTGGGTTCGCAGAGGTAGAGCGAGCTGCAAAGCTGTCTACAATACGACGATGTCTTCGTTTCTTCCGCACCTACGCTGCTTTTCGTCGCGCAATCATAGTGGGGGTGACCATCAAGGCTCAACGACGTAGCTTGAGAATGATCTGAACTAGATTAGATAGTGTCAGCTTTATCAGAGGTGCAATGCGGTGCTGCGTCGTAAGCCCAAGATCAAACTCCTTGTACGCTGAGTTTGGCGCCTTCTCCTATCATGATCGTAGGCGGCGACTCTGAGGGAGTGTTCCCCCTGGTGTAAATCTAGCCGTTAGTAACGAGGGCCGAAGAGAAAATTGAAGGGGTTAAGTGTTCTCTGCCAAGCTCACCATGGCTGTTGCTTTCATGATTTTTCAGTTCGCCGGCTAGGTTTTTGCAGCCGGAGGTGGTCCGTCCGGGTGCCGAGTGACGATGTGGAATGTAAGTGCCCCGTGGGGCGGTGGGAGGAGCGCATGCCCCGAATTAGTGGACGGCGGGGGCGCAGGTCGGCCGCCACCCCGGACAAACGCCGACTCCACATCTCCGTGAGAATCCCCGTTGTATGGGATATCTTGACCTCTTGATTTTGCATCTCTGGCTTTTTAGGCTTGTGGATTCACGATGTTGAAACCTACGTGAAGTACCGATGAGACTGTTACATCAGAGGCCGGCATTGTTCCGTATCACCGGCCCTGTTTAGCGTCTGGAACCGGATTCTCGATGTAACCCATCTCTATGGTCGATTGGCACCTGAGCGGCATGGGCCCCGGGGTTTAGGCCGGGCACCGATTTCACAATCCGGTTGCTGCGCGTAGGGGAATATGTTGTAGCGTTGATTTGTTCTGGCCCTCTCCTCTCTCTTGTTGAGTTTCGTTCAGGTGGGCTCTGCTTGAGACTATATCAGGAGGAATCTGGGCTATGGCCTTCCTCGGAGAACGAAGCGGAACGAATTCACCGAGCAAGGGACATGACAGTGGACTGAATTAGTCTGAGTCCAGAAATTGAAGGGAAAGTTACGTTACATTTGGCCTCTTCATCGCATGTAGAGTTATGATTGTTCTCTATCGCCGGGCTCACGGCACACCTGCTATATGTGCCACTTCCACGCATGCTTACGACATTCGAAGAAAGTAGATGTATGTAAGTGCATCTATGACGAAGAGTCGGCTTCGAACATACCAGCCTAGTACCCGAGGGCTCGCCGTCGGTGATCAGAATTCTGCAAAGACCACCGTCGGTTTATTGCGTATCCTCTTGATGCGAGTCCCTTGCTGCTCCCACACATCCCACAAGTCATCACGGCACTAACCGGTCTCCTCACTCGCAAGTCTCCTCGGAGATTGGAGATGCCCTTGCTCCCGCCTTGGCGCCAGACGAGGAGCCCGGCTTAGCCGTGCGGTAGAGGATCAACCGCGAAAGACCTGGCGGGAAGCAAACTCCTGCCCGCCCGGCATAGCAGCGACGGAAGCACGGAAGCACGGCGGCATGAAGTACGTGTTCCCCTGCTTGACACGGGCAGGCTTTCGGTGAATATTCAAGGTCCTTTATTTCCAGAAGGATTGTTCCTGGCATCTTGGAAGCTTCCAAGGTTGATATAGATGCATGAACGACCTAGTAGGATCCTGCATTCATTGGGGCATGGGGGCTATGTCGCCAACCATAGCCTTCCTTAATCTCCCGTGCAGAAGCGGATAGATCCCCTTCCCCTGCGTTTGCGAGCCTCGAGCTTACGTCCGCCATTACATGATTGGAAAGACGCATCGCGGGTCTAGATGGGAGACGTACGATGCAAGACATTGCTCTCTCACTGCCGTGGTTGAGCCCTCCACAAGTTCCTTGGGAGGGAAGAGCAAGCAGGCAATCTTGCCTATGCGCGGCCGCAGTCAATCTCGAAATATGCCCTTGGTAGATACCTTGTGGATCTTAGCCCCATAAATCTAATCATCTAATCAGGGGCCTTGTCAGGATAGTAGACACGAGCTCTAGTGTCTGTACCTAGTAGTTCAACGAACGTATTTTACGATTTACATGATAGGCCCGTTTGTCCCTCGGAGTGCCAGTAGGCCGCGATGACCCCGGGTTTTATTACCGCTCTCTGCCGTCATTCTGCGCGGCTTCTACAACAAGATGCGGACCACTCGGTGATCGTGCGATGGGGTCATCTCCGAAAAGGCGGCCGTAAGCTTGGGTAGGATCATCCGCCCACCTAATATCAAGGTGTGTACTTGTCTCTATGTTTCCTACTAATCGATATGGTATGTAGTTGGTTATTTTGTGGCGGACCTCTTCGACTGGTGACAGTACTTCGCCGCCGTGTAAATAAGATGTCGTGAGTCTATCTGTAGTGCGCCGCAGTCGTAATTGGGTCAGATTCTATGACTACTGTTGCTGGAAGAGGAGAAGGCCTTGATGACGAGGACGGGGGCATGATACGATGCACATGCTCTGCTGCACAATCTCTCAGCCCCCGGTTTCTCGGTCTCAATGAGGTGCTCCACGCGCATGCGTGTGTGTGTGCTAGGTCAGAGCGAAGCGTGCCTGGTCTGCACGTTCGCGGTTCGTAGAGGAGGGGGAGAGATGGCCCGCGGGGCTTGTCGATCATCTAAATGTAGCTATATTTACCGGTCGGCAGCCGAGCATAGGTTCCAATGCTTTATCGGCCGCCCCCTGCGCCCACCCGAGCTGGCACACTCTTTTAGACGGAACCTGCACATGGTAAGCCATGCCGCGACTTTGGATTTCTCCAATGGCAGTGGTTAATATGTCGATGCCAAGGGTATGGTTGGGATTGGATGTCTCCGATCTCCACGTTGTAGGTGTACATCTACCAACCCACAGACTACGTTCTTGGCTGTACTGGCTAAACTTGAAGAGGAATGCTTTCAATACATTGGATGGATCGACCTGTGTCCTGTTCCTTGCTTCCTGATGTCCTCCCTGGGGAGTGGCGAACGTGGATGGTTGCCATTTCAGGGCAGTGCCTTTTTTGGTTTTACTGAAAGGCACAGTAATTCATGCTAGGATCAATTCAATTGATCCTTTTGCTTTTTTATCTCCTTCTCGGATCGTCGTTAGTTCAATGTCTATTGACGATGGGCAGACTCGGGCGCGGTTCTGGCCCATCCTTCAAAGTTAGCTCTCCTTCCTCCCCGCCCCCGTCGAGCTTATCCAAATTATATCGTCGCCATGTCCGTGACCGCCGACACGCGGGTACCTGTATGGGCAACAAGGGTTCCCCATATAGAATTAGCAGCAATTGAACTGTGTGCCATGCACGAAGAAGTCCAATTACAGGGGGAGAAAAGCGAGGTCTGGTGCTACGCATCGTCATATTCAGGGTGGATCGATTGGGAGGAGCGAATCCCGTTCCTTAGTATATTCGCTTCGGCGATGTTGCGCAGATCTTGGTTTATCTGCCTGGACACATCCTCGACTGCGCCTAGAATATTTTTGATGGCCTCGGCATGCCGTGGCACAGAGAGAAGCGGTTGTGGATCCGTAGGAAACGATGCTCTCTGGCCATATCCTCATGGCCAAGCCACGGGGAATGTCAGCTAATATATAGGACATGCGTGAATGGTAGGTTTTGCGGGTTGCAACGTTGAAGGAAGGTGGATGAACAGGAGGAGAAGTGACGCGTGGTGAGATCCAAGAAAAAAATCACAGTGTAACGGCTACCAAAAGAGAAAAAAAGAAGCGAAAGAAAAAGCCAAGGGGAAAACGGCAGGAGATTCTTCGACATGAGCCCGGGCTGTGCATTGCCCTTTTTCTCCAGACCCGTTCTTTGACTCGGGAAAGAGGTACCTGGCGCATAGCATCCGGGCTGGAAGATGTGTGGTGCGAGTCTTTTTGGAAGCGGGCTCGTATATACCATACGCGCATAGTACTTGGTAGGCTGGGGAAGGAGAGACTGTGCGTGCACAACCTTTGCCCGAACAGCTGGAGTCTACTTCGTACCTTGCTGCCCTATTCTTTTTGACCCTCTGCTTCGTTTTCCACTTCTTGTCCTCGGGAGGCGGGACTGCACGAGCTATATTGTTCATTAACGAGGCTAGATAGTTTGCTTTCTTTATTTTGTTGAAATATATAAGCTAATCGCTCCCTTGCGCATCTCGTCTACACTTTGTGGTCTTCTTTCTCTTCTCCGTCCTTTCTCCAGGTGACCTCTCTCTCTCTTCCCTCCCACCCTTCGCTTTATCGAGGCTCTTTCGGTTCTTTCTGAAGGCCTCTACTTTCGTTTACTATCCTCTCTTCCTTCTCTTTGTCTCGTGTGTGCACTCTCCATTCGTCACCACTGCAGTTGCGCTAGCCCATCACCACCCCCACCGCACCGATGCAGAACTGGGGTTTCTTCAAGGCAGCGCTCTCGGCCCTGGCCTTGAGCAGCGTTGCCTTGGGCGAACCGATCCCCGCTAAGGAGGGCGTCAAGGTTGCGGAAAGGCAAACTACCGTCATCACGCCCGGAGGTAGGGCCTGCGGAGAGCACGGTCCCGAGAACAGGCGGTGCTGGATGAACAACTGGACGATTGACAAGGAGAACGAGATTGATCCTCCACCGGCCTTTGTAAGTTGACCCAAAAAAAAAAAAAAAAAAGTAATTGAAGGAACCAGAGCTATCTTGCTTGGCTCGTCTCGCATCGATACCAAAAGACTCACTCCTCGATATGACTTGGTTTGTGCGCTGACTCTCCGTGGGGCACTTGATAGAACAACAGGGAATATGATCTGTACATCACAAACGAAACCAACTGGGAGGGTCCAGACGGCGTGGTTAAGCATGCCATGCTTATCAATGGTAAGTCCAAGATTCGAAGAAAATGGGGCAAAGGTCATGAGGGCCGTACTCGGTCCCGATCGGTTGGACCGGCCCGGGAAAGGGAGGCCAGCTCTGTTTTTGCCCCTCTCAATAACCAATCGCCCCTGGGCTATAATTTGCAAGCTCAAGAAGATGGAATGTTGTTTTTAGGCTAACTCTAAATCCTCTGACAGGACAATTTCCGGGCCCTACAATTGAGGCTGGTAAGACACTATCACCCATTCTTCCCCCATTGCAGTCCTATCCTATCCCTTAATATGGACCGAGGTCTATATTTGCCACAGGCACAAACCACTTCCACACCCACCATCGTACACCTCCGCACCACATCCACACACATATGCACGACTCTTGGGGGACATGCCCCCAAATCTATTTAGGGCCATGCGTTTAGGGCTAGATGGGCTCTTGCTCTTACGCTCTCACTTACACGCTTACCCTACTCTCTGCGTTGCTGGTCAGGATGCCTGACTCGAATCGCCACGTTCTAACGTACAATGCTGAATAGATTGGGGCGACTATGTTATTGTCAACGTGCATAACATGCTTCAAGACAATGGGTAAGATACTTTGATTTGTTTCCCTTCTCTCATCTTAATCATTTCCCCTCCCCTCAGTCATGCCGCCTCCCTTGTGGGGAGGCGGTTCGTAAATTTTGGGGGTTTTTGGCGGCTAAACAACTAACACGAGTCTGTCTCTCTCTCCAGCACATCGATCCATTGGCACGGAATCAGGCAGATCGGAGAGAGCAACCAGGACGGAGCGAACGGAGTGACGGAATGCCCTATTCCTCCTGGCAGCTCCAAGACGTATGCTTTCCACGTCGTCCAATACGGCAACTCTTGGTACGTGTCCACCCTCTCTTGCCAATTTAGGCTACAAAGAACGAAGCGCGCAATTTTCTAACCGTGAGCGTCCACGTCGTCGCGCGAAACGAAATAGGTATCACAGCCACTTTGGTAGCCAATATGGAAATGGTATCGTTGGAGCGATGATCGTGAATGGCCCTGCAGTGGAGAATTACGACATCGACCTCGGCCCTTGTAAGTATCGCATCATTTGAGGTTGCCTGACAAAGGGTTCCTTTTTTCATCGCCGAGGGACTGTTTCTAACCAGGGAAATTCCAGATGTCATCACGGATTACTACCATGAGACAGCCGACAACCTCGGGCGCAAGGCCGAGATAAGCGGTCCTCCAGACAGCCAAAATATTCTCTTCCGTGGCAAAAACGTACACCACTCCGACCCGACCAAGGGCGCCTATGACCGGCTCAAGTTGACACCTGGAAAGACCCATCGCCTACGTCTCATCAACACTAGCGTCGACAACTCCATCACCGTCAGTCTCGTCGGGCATACGATGAAGATCATCCAGGCCGATCTTGTGGCGACCGAGCCTACGGAGCGCGAGCACATCTTCCTCGCCGTGGGCCAGCGGTACGACGTCATCGTCGAAGCCAACCAGCCCGTGGGCAACTACTGGTTCAACGTGACCCTCGAGGCGACCAACAGATGCGGAAGGTCGGACAACAAGTTCCCCGCCGCCATCTTCTCGTACGAGGGCGCGGACGACACCGCGCTCCCCACGGACCAGGGCGTCGCCTTTGCCGCGGCCTGCGAAAACGAAAAGGACCTCGTTCCCTGGTTGAGGAGGAACCTGGACCCCGCGGATTTCGAACCCCACGAGATGACCGTCACCCTCGAGCAGCCCGTCGTGGACTTCCGCGGCAAGGTGTTTAGGTGGGAGATCAACGACGTGGACATCGAGATCGAGTGGGACCACCCCATCCTCGAGTACATTTACGAGAGCGACAACAACTGGAAGCCCAAGCACAACATCATCGAGCTCCCCGACGCCGAGGTGTGGACGTACTGGATCATCCAGAACAACTTTATCCTCCCCACCCCATCCACTTGCACGGCCACGATTTCCTCGTCCTCGGCAAGGGCGAGGGCCGCTTCGAGCGCGAGGAGCACTTCTCCCAGCTCAAGTTCGACAACCCCCGCGCCGCGACGTCGAGCAGATGCCCGGCAGCGGCTGGATGGTGATTGCCTTCTTCACCGACAACCCGGGCGCGTGGCTGCTGCACTGCCACATTGGCTGGCACGTGAGCCAGGGCTTCGGTATGCAGTTCTTGGAGCGCAAGGACGAGATCTCGTCGCTCATGAAGCTGAACCAGATGGTGCCCAACTGCAACGCGTGGAGGGAGTATGCGCCCACGTGCCCGTGGTTGCCGATGTTGGATTCGGGATTGAAGTCGAGGAGGAGGTGGTTGTGGTAAGCATTTTCACGCCGGGGAGGAGAAGTAGAGAGACAGAGACAGAGAGAGAGAGATTGGGCCTCGCGACCTGATTTGATAGTTGATGCCTACGGGGGCAAGGAGTAAACTAAGCCGGATGGACATGGGTCGGTTGTATTATTGGTGGGACATGGAGAAAAGATTGAGGGAGATTGGGGCTTCGTTCTCCTTTGATCGTCGCCATCCTCCCTAATTCATGTCCTTTTTCTTTGTTTTTTTATCATATTCGAGCCCATATTTTCAATTTTCCTTTTCAAGTATTCCTCATTTTTACTGTCATGACCCACACACACGGTATTTTGATCTCGACCTTTTTTACTTCTTCTTTAGCAGTTTGGGTAGGCTGGCTTGCGATGGACTGAGGAGGCATTGAAAAGGATGATGGAGTAGGAGCATATACATCCACATATCAAAGTTTTAACCGAGCAACATACTATTCATTGTTTACAGTCTTGCCTTAACCAACGTGTGAAACCATGAGGACCATGGAGGAGGCATATCCACTGTATTGGATGGCTCGAGTCTCAGTTCTCTTCGTCTTATCGCATGGCGCTGTTCGTCGGTATCTGTGTATAGCTGTGTCTGCCACAGCGCATATCATGACCTGTCTATTTGACCTTACGCTGGGCTGCTCCCACTCAGCGTCTAATTAACGATTGTGAGCCTTTAATTGCGTAACCCGTGTTGCTAAAATTAACCCTTGACCAAGCGCCTTTGCATCATATGAGGGCACGTGGGAGGTTAGGTGCCTGACGATACCGTTGGACATGGTCTAAGGATAAAGGCAACGAGGACGTAGATGGGAAAGACGATGATGGCACGGGAGAAGATAGAGAAGGAACGAAGGGGAAAGTAAGAAGGCCAAGTTTGGCCCACAAGCCGGAGTGAAGAAGTTGGGATGGGTCGGTATTAGGCGGCGTCATTACGAGATTGGTATCGGATGAGGGAGAAAGAAGGTGGGGGCGAGTGTGTATCAAGGAAGGAGCAAGCGGGGGATGAATTGTGAGGAGCAATATGCTCCTAGATCCTGAGAGGAAATAGGCCGCTAATATCGGACGAGAAATGGGATGGGTTCATTCTTCGTCGCGTGTATCGTGCGCGTATGTCTGCGTGTTAGTGTTTTGGGGTGTTTTGTTTTGTTCGAGCTGCCCTGGGCCTCTTTATAAATTAAATGGTTACTATTTTTATCTATGCCCGGTTCAGAGCCTCTCCCACGGTAAAATGCGATATGTGGAGACAAGGCCGGCCCGAAGTTGATCGTTGTCTAGCTTATCCTGAGGTCAATCGCATTTGTTTGTTCGCCTGCACCAGCGCACGGTCTGAGATGGATGTGAGCGGACGATGGGAACGGATAAGGTTGGAGATGGATGCTGTGTAAGAGGAAGACGAGGAGGGCCTATGGTCAAGGGGAGAGGAGCCAGGCGCCTGATGTTTGATGATAGGGAATGGCAGATACGGAGTTCTTTGTCGTGGCTGTCTTTTTACGGCCACTTGTTCTGAAGCTACATATATAGGGTCGCTTTACGCGTGCGGCGGTTCCTGTTCGATCCGTGCACGAATCTCTGTCCCGACGACATCTCAGTGGACTTGAATTGAAGAGGTTAGATCAAGTGCAAGTAACCACTCACGACTCCCCTTTCCCCAGATGAGAATGGACCACCCAGCGCAAGGCCGCGAACTCTTTTTGTACCTAGCTTCTTCCTCTCGAACCCGCCACTTACTAGAATCGGCAAGGGCGATAATAAGCGCCCTCTATGACGACAAGTCTCCCAGTCGCTTGGTGACGTTTTATGAAATTCTGGGATGAACCCAAACCCCACCGCCCCACTTTCGACCTCGAAGCATCAATCCCACGCTCGCGATCTATTGTAGGGAGTATATCTAACGGATCAAAGTGAAATAGAGAGTAAGATGAAAGCACGAGTGAGTAGATCTGTGTATAGGTAGATATATATACTGATTCTTTGGTGGCATCTGCCGTAAGCCAACCCCGGTTGTGTTGAGTTCTGTTGAGCGCCCCTAACAGCAAAGTTAGCTCTTCTAGGACCTCCACGCAGTCGCTGCAAAGTATACGAAAAGATGCTAAGATCCAAGCAAAAGTGGGAGAAAAGAGGTTAAGGAGAAACTGTGCGTCATAGAGGCCATCACCATCGCCGTCATGATCCTCTTCACTACAATGTGTGCCTCGTTACGCCTCCTACCTCATGTGAATTACCAAGTATGCAGGGCGGCCATCGTCGTTTGCGTCCATATGGCGCGTACTCATTATTCCACCGTTGCATATTGGAACGAGCTACCTGGCGCTCTCGTGGTATCTGATCTGATCTAGACATTGGGCACTAGCAACTCCCTCCAGTGTCGCTCTGCGGCTACGCGTGCCACTTCGATCTGCTAAGACATAGGGTCGATTCAGAGGCAATGGTACTTCAATCAAGGCCCGCCCCTCAATATCGAGTTCTGATTGGTATCGCCAGCCAGCGCGAGCCTGGTGCCTTCACGTGAGTGGCATGAAGTGGCGTCTTGTCGCAAGGCTGCGGCTATCGTGTGTATAAATAGGGCTACCGAACCCCGCTCGCCTCGTTCTCAATCTGGCAGAAACCAACGCCCAGGTCGAAACTTCCGAACCGGAACCAACCTTCAGCATAAAGGCTTGCGCATCCAAGCTTTGCTACGGTATCTCTCGCTTCATACCTAAAGTAAACGTGACTTTCGGTAGACACTGAAAAAGTCTTACCTGTACGGGCCCAAACTTAGTCCCAGCGGTGTAGCAGTGCTGATTATAGACTGACGGATCTTAGTCTCCAGAGCCAATCTAGGTTCTCGTTAGGTCATCGCTCCTTGAGATGGATTCTTTCAACGAAACAGACGTCACTGTTGGGTGGATCGCTCCACTGGCACTGGAACTTACCCCTGCCATCGCGATGCTAGAAAGCCACAGAGAAGTGGAGAAAGGGAATCTTACTTATCATGTCGGGAGAATAGGCAATCACTGGGTTGCTATGATTGTTTGCCCGAGAATTGGCACCGGTCCAGCCACGACTACCGTCACTCTCCTGACTACTTCATTCCCGAATATCAAGCACATTCTTGTCGTCGGCATAGCCGGAGGCGTGCCTTCCTATGGTCAGGATGCGCGGCAAATTGTGCTGGGAGATGTTGTTGTGAGCCGCCCGCAAGGAACTGAAGGCGGAGTAGCGCACTACGAGTTTGGTGCCTGGGAAGGGGAAAACAACTGCTTGACCCCTAGCGGACATACGCTCCACCCATCTAATGCTCTATTAAGTGCGGTAAACAATCTTGAATCTAAACATATGCGAAGGCCGGGAACCATAATCCCCGAGATACTACGCAGCCTCCACAATGCTCTCACTCAACAGCAATCCCTGGAATATAATGACCCTGGGAGCGAGGAAGACTATCTATTCCCGGCCAACTACCCCCACCTCGACAAGAAGCGCCCCTGCAAAGGTCTGTGCGAACTAACAGAATCGAAGAAACGGTATCATCGTGGCGCCAAAGCTCTGCGAGAAACGGACTTGCCTCATATCCATTATGGAGTCATTGGTTCAACTAATGCACTTGTCATCTCAAGCACAAAGCGGGATGAGCTTCACCAAAGCCACGAGATTCTTTGCTTCGAGATGGAATCTGCGGGTGTGATGGGAGACTATCAGGCCTTGGTCATCCGGGGATCTGTGACTACGCGGATTCTCATAAGAATAAGAAGTGGCAGAAATACGCCGCAGCAACAGCAGCTGCTTATGCAAAGGAGCTACTACTAATTTTGCCAGCTGAGAAGAGAGATGAGTCCCGGTCTTGGGGAGGTAGTCGAGAGGGCTTTAAAAGCTCTGCACCCAGGAACGAAACGAGGTTCAACAATGTTGAGTCCCGGTCTTGGGGAGGTAGTCGAGAGGGCTTTGAAAGCTCCGCACCCAGGAACGAAACGAGGTTCAACAATGTTGAGTCCGGCGGGATCGTCCATAGCGGAAGTGGTCATATCAACATCTACGGTAGGAGAAACTAGCACGCAGGCATCCAAGAGCAGGGTTAATCAAATTTCACGTGAAGGTCAAAACCAAGTAGAGAAGAGAATAGCCGAAAAGAAAAAGTTTCTCCAAAAACTTAAAACTATGGAATACAAAGAGGCAAAAGAGAGAAATCCCGATCGCGTCCCAGGTACATGCGAGTGGTTCGTATCTCACCCATCATTCCACGAATGGCAACGTAGCCTATCTTCGAGCATGCTCTGGGTGTCTGCCGATCCCGGCTGTGGCAAGTCTGTCCTGGCAAGGTACCTGATAAACGAGATCCTTGCCGCTACCTCTCCCGAGGCAACAGTGTGCTACTTCTTTTTCAAAGACGACTTTGAAAAGCAGAGGAGCATCAAGGATGCTTTGTGCTGCATCCTGCATCAGCTACTTACCAAAAGACGCGACCTTTTCTCGAACAAGGTTCTAGATCAATTTGAATCCAGTAAAGATTCTACCACTTCATTTTCCGAGCTATGGGATATTCTCGTCACTGTTGCTGAAAATGAAAATGCCGGCGAAATCATTTGTGTCTTCGATGCGCTCGATGAATGCAATGAAAATGAACGGCCTCACCTAGAGAGTGCTCTTAGCAGTTTTTATAAAACTGGAGAAGCCGATCGCCACACTAGGTTGAAAGTCCTCATAACGAGTCGGCCATATCGGAATATCCGGAGAGGTCTCCCCGCTCAGGATAAGAAAAATCGGGTCATTCATCTACAAGGCGAGAGCGATGACGAGAGGGACATGATATCTAGAGAAATTGGTTTCTTCATCGATCATAGAGTTAAAGAACTAACAGAGGAGCTTAAACTTACAAGTCATGCACAGAGTCTCCTATCACAGGGCCTTAAAAGGATTCCAAATCGAACGTACATTTGGGTACACCTCACGCTAGATTTGGTGGATAGCGAACTTGGCTGCGGTATCACCCCAGCCAAGATATCAGAGGCAATTTCGCATATCCCTAAATCAGTTGATGAGGCATATAATAAGATCCTCTCTCGGTGCGGGTTCGACGCGGACGTGAAAAAATCTTACATATCATTGTTGGGGCGACACGACCTCTAACTCTAGAAGAGATGGATCTTGCTCTGGCGATTCAAAAGCCATATCAGTCATATAGTGGACTCGAAAACCATCTCATGCGAGAGCACGGGGTCCGTGATTTTATACGACAGACCTGCGGCTTTTTCGTAATAGTTGTCGACAAGAAGATATATTTGGTCCACCAAACCGCCAAAGAGTTTCTCGTACCAGGTCTCCAAGCACTCACCACACAACCAGTCCTTGGACGTCTGAAATGGAAGCATGCATTTCACCCGCACGAGTCTCATCTCATCCTCGCCGAGATCTGTGTCCAACACCTACTATTCTCCGATTTTGAGGACACAGAGCTTGAGCGAGCTCAATTTGAGATAATGGATGAGCTGAGGAAATTTGCCAAGAGTCATACATTCCTAAGCTACTCTGCTCAAAACTGGGCGATGCATTCCCGGAATGTGCAGACTGATACATTTCCAGTTGATCAGGAAGCGATACTGAGATTGTGCAATCCGCATTCGAAATATTTCTTCCTGTGGTTTAGGATCTATTGGGTCACCACATATTCAAACATGGAGATGCCCAGCGACCTTTCATCCCTTATGATCGCATCTTACTTGGGCCTTACTGCGGTAGTAAGGTATCTCTTGCGCGTAGATGATACCGGTATCAATTGTAGGGATGCTGCATATGGTCGATCAGCACTCTCTTGGGCTGCGGGCAAGGGCTTCTCGACAACCACGAAAGCGTTGATAGATGGTCGGTCTGGTCTGCGGGGCAAGATGCCAGGTACAATCCGTCGCCTGTTTAACTGGACAGCTGATGTCAACTCCAAGGGTGGAAACGGCCAAACCCCACTGTCATACGCAGCCATGGAGGGTCATGAAGACGTCGTTAAGCTTCTGATCGCCATGGCTAAGGTCGATGTCAACTCAAGGATATAAATGGCCTTACACCGCTATCACATGCAGCCAAGAAGGGGCGCGAAGCCGTCGTCAAGCTCCTTATTGCTAAAACCGAGGTTGATGTCGAATCCAAGGATAGTGAAGGCCAGACACCGCTCTCGTTTGCAGCTCACTATGGGCATGAAGCTATCATCAAACTCCTTATCGCTACGTCCAAGGTCGATGTCAACTCTAGGGATGTAGAGCACCAACTAGGCATATCCAGTTTTGGCGGCCGGACACCGCTATTTTTGCAGCTTTGGATGGGAACGAAGCTATCGTTAAGATACTTATCGCTATAGCCCAGGTAGATGTCGACGCTAAGGATGCAAGTGGCCAGACACCGCTATCAAATGCAGCTAAGATGGGGCACGAAGCTATCGTTAAGATCCTTATCGCGACGGGCAGGGTCAATGTTGACTCCAAGGATGTCGAAGGCCGGACGCCGCTATCGTATGCAGCTGAACATGGAAGGAGGGGGTAGTTAGGCTCCTTATCGCTATGGCCAAAGTCGATATCGAGTCCAAGGACATATACGGCCGAACACCGCTGTCATATGCAGCTAGGAGTAGGCATGGAGCTACCGTTAAGCTCCTTCTGGCGACGGCCAGAGTTGACGTCAACTCTAAAGATGATACCGGCAAGTCACCGCTATGTTGGGCAGCTTTAGATGGGCGTGAATCAACACTTAAGTTACTTATCGCTACGGCGAATGTCGATGTTGACTCCAAGGATGCAATCGGCCGGACACCGCTATCATACGCAGCTGGGAATGGGTATGAAGCTCTCGTTAAGCTCCTTATGGCAACGGCCAAAGTTGACATCAACTCTAAGGATGATACCGGCAAGACACCGCTATGTTGGGGAGCTATAGATGGGCGTGAAGCAGAACTTAGGTTACTTATCGCTACGGCGAAGGTCGACATTGACTCCAGGGATGAAGAAGGCAAGACACCGCTATCATATGCAACTAGTTATGGACATCAAGCTGTCACTAAGCTCCTGATAGAGACAGCTAAGGTCGACATAAACTCTAAGGATAATGAAGGCCGGACACCATTATCGTATGCAGCTGGGAATGGGAAAGAAGCTACTGTCAGGCTCCTCCTCTCTATGGACAAGGTCGATGTTGATTCCAAGGATGTGGGCGGCCGGACGCCATTATCGTATGCAGCTGAGAGGAGGAGTGAAGCCATCGTTCAGCTTCTGATCGCTACGGCCAAGGTCGATTTTGACTCCAAGGATGCAAACGGCCGGACACCGCTATCATATGCAGCTGGGAATGGGTATGAAGCTATCGTTAAGCTCCTTATGGCAACGGCCAAAGTTGACATCAACTCTAAGGATAATGATGGCCGGACACCATTATCGTATGCAGCTGGGAGGAGGGGTGAGGCCATCGTTCAGCTCCTGATCGCTACGGCTAAGGTCGATGTCAAGTCTAAGGATGTGAGCGGCCTGACACAGCTATCATATGCAGATATGAATGGGAGTAAGGTTGGTTTGAACGATACGGACGGCCGGATACCGCGATTACATGCAGCTAGGAATCGGGGTAAAGCTATCGCTATTACTATTATTATTATCCTTACACTATTTCACTATCTTTATTTATAGTATATAGTCCTTCCTCATTTCACGAACCCCTCATAGGTGCCAAAGCCCCAATTCCTCGTCTACTGCCCGCGTCCGCGGCGCCCTCTATACGCTCTCGTCCCGTCGTAGGCCCGCTCTTATTAGCGGTATATGGCTGTACATGTAGGCTCGCTACGTCCTCGCCCCCTGCTCTCCTTCCCTTAGCTAGCCAGCGATATGGCTAGGAATAAAGCTATTGTTAGGTTACTTCAACAGAAGAGGTAGTCGCGTGCCTCATATCGAGCCTTTTTGTTAGTTTTTATCAGAATTTCACTTGATAGTCACGGAAAATCTACTAATACCAGGTATTTACATGTACCTCGAGAAGTACAGGGGCTCAGGGGATAGGACATATCTAGTGCTCCAGCTCGGCTGTAAACACAATCCTTCCATCTAATGATGTTGGTACTCACTACAAGTCTGTGCTGTGGAAGGGGGAGACAACACCACCAGGCTCGTAGGCATACAGGCCTCCTCGTGGAGGTAATCCTACTATGGGACTCTGTCTTTCTTGTCTCAATTGATGACTAGGGCATTGACGAATTGTTGGAGGTTGGCACGCTCGGTGACTTGATGCCACGGGTTTTTGTTTCGCCTGCGAAGCCTGACAAGAACTCGTGATATGTGCAGTAATGTCCCGCTGGTGGGATTTTGATCTCGCAAGGAACAGTGGAAAAGCATCAATTGTTAACATTGAACCGAACATGAATGATTGCAAATATAATCCACACGCTCTATTGATGTCTATTGTCTAGCCCGCCCGCTCCCTTGAAATTGGGAACCAAACCATGTCGCACCCCAACGCCTTTTGCTCAAGAAAGATACAGAAAAGCATTAATATCCAATATTAAGGAAAATGTCTAGGTAGAAGATGCCAAGAAAAGAAAAGTCATGCTTTGGCCGACGTGGCGAGAACAAGAAAAAGAAATGAGAAGAGCATACAAGCTCATCACGGTCTTGTCTCCTTCTCACGAAAAGACCTCAACTTGGCACCCGCCGGCGGCTTAATCTCTTCCCTGTCCAACACGGCCGGATCGTACACCTCAAGGACATACCTCTTTACATCCGCGAGCCTGTCAGCGTCCATCCGCCGGCGGCTTTCTCGCGCAGGGTGCTCGTCGGGGAGATACAAAGGCGCAAAGTAGCCGTGTTCACCCGGCTCGTGCTGCTGAAATACAAGGGTGCGGAGTTTTCGGGCGCGCCGCGCCTTGGACTTGAGTCTCAAGCTCGGCTCTTTGGCGGCAGCAACGGCGTCGGCTGGCTTGATTTCCGTTTGCGTGACGCGCGTACGCATAGGCGAGGAGGTGAGGGAGGGGGCGGAGGAGGCAGAGGAAGAAGAAGAGGAGGAGGAAGACAGTTTGCGGGTGGCAGCGGCGGCTCTAGGTCGTGGCGCTTGGTGGCCCAGCGCTTGGTGAGGACGCAGTAGGTGGTGAGCACGGCGATGAAGAAGGCGGCTACGGCGAGGACGGCGATGACGATGATGACGGGGAGGGAGAGGGTACCGGTGCGGATGAGAGTAGGTTGCTGATTCGTAGGAGGGGAGGCTTCCTGCCTGGGGAGCAGGGGAGATGATATCCTGGGGAGTAACATGGTGTGTCGGGTTGGGTGTAGGATGTGTGCGTATACTCTGCTGCTCTTTTACCGAGAAGACAAAGGCTTGGCGGGCTGGACGCTAGTTCACGGTGCGCGGTGCCCTTGGTTGGTGATGTACTCTTTGCGAGTTTTCTTTCTTGTTGGTGACTGTTGCAATCTTGTTTCTTCGGAGGTGGTCACGAATGAAACGAGGGCAAGTTCGAGACTGGATGGGAGAAACACGAGGTGATAGAACGAGGGAAAGGAACCGGGATATCGGTAAGCGAGTGTTTGCCTCCTGGGGAAATGAGTGAAGTAAAACCTGGAGAAGGGGACAAAGGAGTGACTAGAAGCGAGAGGAAGCCAAGAAAACAATCGCGGGTTGAGTCCCAAGGAAGCTCAAGAAAGGCAAACCGAAGGGGAGAGACGAGGCGGGGTGTTCAAGGTCGAACGAGATCCCTCCCATGTATATAGCATCCCCTCTCAACGATGGCGATGGCGGGCGGTAGCGGGAAGAACAGCGCCGAGCTTGCCGAGCCGGGAGAAAGCCAACACCGCTTGAGCTGAAGGTGGGGCCCGTGGAAGAAAAGAAGAAGAAAAGAACGAGACGGAGAAGGATATGAGACGCCAAACACGGGCAATGACGAGAACTTGGAGACGTTTTGGTGGGACAAAAAGCCGGGCTGGTAAAAAGGCAAAAATGTTTTGGAAGGTGATCGACTCGTCGGATGAACGCCGCCAACGAACTGGACGGGAAGATGTATGTACGTGGAGCGGGAAGCAGGGAAAGCGGCTGGGAAGGGGGAATCCACGCGGTGGGTGTGGGGGAGAAAGGTGACGAGAGATCACGAACTCGACTTGAAGAAGTTGAATATTTGATTTGACAAACTTTCTCTTTCTCAGCTGTCCTTCTTCCTCCTTTTTTTCTCGTCCAATTTTCTTCATTGTATGGCCTCGCTCGCGTCCCTCTATCTCGACACCCCTAATAATACTCCAAGAGTATAACGACGTCCTTGATAAAAAGGGGACTTGGGGGATCAATTGGGTCATCCACGCTCGCATTAGAGAAAACCCATCTGATCTCATCGATTCTTCCAATGCCAACCGTTATCCGAACCACCACTGCCCGAGGCTTGGTTCCCGATCCACGTCCAGGATGAAGCAACGCCTCTTGCTCGGGGATAAAAGCAACTCGTCGAACAAAATTCGTCCCATAAACTGGCCATTGTCTCGGCGCGGCAACTTTTCCATCCTGGCGATCATTAATGGGCGCGCCCTCGCATTTCCGTCTGCGAACAAGTCGGAGATCCGCGACTTCGAGAAAGCGGCAGGGGAATCGGGGGCGCACGGGGCATGCCGACGCAACGGCAAATGGTGCAAGGGCCGCCACACAAATGCGCCGCGAAAAAGGGGAGGAAGGGAATCAGATCGCTGGGGAGATAGTGAATGGGGTTTGAACAGAAGTTCGGGGCCGGTTCCTGCAAGGTAGAGTTCAGTTCCCGCTGCGCCGGCGTATGCGTGTGCTGTGTTTGCTGTTGCATTGGATCACGGGAATTTGGGATCAGCAAAAGGGAAAAGGGCATGTCTTTGGCCTTTGACAGACTTGGCATTGATGTTCTCGCATCGCAATGGATCCATCCGTCCGTGCCTGAGTGAGCAGGCGGTTGGTGGGGATAGAATGAACGCTGAGACGCACTCGACCATAGGTTTTATCAACGCTTGCTTCAAAGTCCTCGTGGCCTGTGGTTTGCGGCCTGCTTTTGCTTCACTTGAGGACCGCGAATCCGGACAAAGCCCTGGCATAACTGGCAGTCAAATTGAGTCACCAAGCGGTCATAGAAACTCGCCTCCGCTGGTCTACTGAGGTATAGCTGGATGATCTCGACGTCTCCAAGCATTATCGGTGCCAGGACTGGACGAGACCGATAATATGTGGTGCCCCGAGCTCTCGCGCCCTGGTGAGGAACTATTTCGTAGCATTAGGCAACTAGGTCCAATTGTATTCTCGGCCCGTTCCCGGGCGAAAATGCGGAAGCTTCAAGGCGATGGGGACATTGACGCTGGTAGGTGGACGGGGACGTGCTCTCTAGCTGCCGCTCCGCCATTTGCGTTGGCCTGCCCGTTACATCGCCGGTCCGTCCGAAGCCGGCGGTCCGGTCATTTCAATGTTGTCTTGCATCGGCTCCTCTCTTTCCTCACGAATGTGGACGAACGACCTCTCGGGTGGTTTAACGATCAATGGGGCACCCCTTTGTTTTTTGACCCCTCTCTTCACCTTTTAGGATAATGCCGACACGAGAGACAACAGTGTAGGAGAATACGATGGATGTCTGGACCGATGGGAGTGAGAATTCCCGTCGCCGTGTTGTCGCCCGATGCTGCTCTGCGCCGGCTCGATTTTGGTCTTGCAGTGCACCGCAGTTCCCCACCTCATCCCACCTCGTGCTCCTTGTGCTCGTGGCCTCACCGCCGCCATCATCAGGGCGACGGACACAGCACATGCGCTTAGTTGTTTGACCACCTTTTTCCCCGTCATGCCCAACTGCAGCTGATTTAGCCACCTCGCGGATCTAGGTTACAGTGGGAACGTGAAATGGCATTGACAGCGGCAGTGGCCAGGGAAGGAGGGGGCAAGCAAGACAAGGGTGGTGGTTGCAGTTGTGGAGAGCGCTGGCTATTTGCGGATCTTCTGTGCTCGCAGAATCAGCCACGTCGGCGGGTGAGCATCGATCGATGGAGCATTGGGCAGGTTTGGGCGCATGATGTCGATTTTTCCAAGGCTTCATCGATATGTTATTTTTGGGGTTATCGGATGCACGGCATCCTATTGACGTTGGATACGTCAATTGAGGATTTTGCTTGGATGATACCTAAAGAGAGATGGTGGAAATCAGAGACTGGGACACCTTTTTGTTTTCTCCAGTACTCTTTGAATCTGTAAATATCACAAGCACAAAAAATGGATGGATATAGCACCGTGATGAAGCTTAAAGAATCAATTTCACTTATAAAATTTAATTATATTTCTCACGAAATAAAAACGACCCAAAATCTCTTATCTAGCGTAGCTAAAAACTCGCGTTGCCTCGCTCCAAGTTCGATGCTCTTATCGCAGCGAGCCATTCACATGCTGCTGTTTCGTCCCCGCGTGCAAAAATTGATCAATTGGAAAAGGGACTTGTTGGATCGGATATGGCTTCCCAGTTTCGCCCTTCTGCTGAATACGGATTAGTTGGGCCGGGGTGGACCACAACCCAATTGTGGAACCTCGGGATTGATGGATTGATCAATTCGAGTGCGCTGTGCTGTCTGCTTGCGTGAGCGTGGGCGACGCTTCTTGCGTGTCCGACGTCCAACGAACCGCAAATCTGCAACAAAAACTTCAAGACTTTGCACCTCGCCCGATCAACATCCGCCTGTGACAACAGATGGGCCAAGCTTGAGAGAAGAGGAAAAAGAAAAACAGATTCACCCCAACGAACTGTTTCAAAGCGCATAGTCTGATCAAGTCGTGCCTAGAGGCAAAAACCCCAGGATTTCGACCAGGAACCCCTATCCATCGCTGGGTAAATCGCCAAAACATCGACAACGCAAGGAGGCAAGTGTCACGCAAAACAAAAAAACATCATCTGAAAAATTCCCATCGCTTGCCGGCGTCAATCCAAGCCATCGCCCAAGCTTGCCAGAACAGCCACAATTGATCCGAGGCGCATCAAACGCGATCAACCCCCAATTGTCGCCCCGTGCTCACCGCTCGGAAACAGGGAGCCGTCACCATCTAGCCCTTTTGCTCCTCGTTTTCAATTCTTTCATCCCATCTCTCTCCCTCTCTCTCTCTCTTGAGCCGACCGCCGTTCAACGGGCGCAACAGCCCGCGCTTCGGTTTCTTCGTTGGCCCCCACCTAAACCGTCCTCTTATCTCCCCCACCCTTTCAATCGTCATGACGCTCCAGGTCTCCATCGGGCGATTTTCCCTCACCGTGCCCGCCCAGCCGCTGACCGCATCCGCCTTTGCCCCCTTTGGCGATGTGATTGAGAACCCCCGGAGCCAGCTCCTGCCCCCGTCGCCGGGTCCTCGGTGCTCTCCCAGCTCCCCTTTGACGCCGTCTCGGCGAACCAGGGCACCGCCATCAAGTACCAGCACGTCTCCCGCCCCCGGAACCTCTACGCCCAGGCCCCCAGCGCCGTGCCCGCCGAGATGGTCATCAACATGTTTGTCTGTCGATCTAGGCCCCTGCACCCCGTCTCCGCCCCTGACGCCAGGGACGACGGGGATGGCGTTTACGAGGGCGGCTTGGCCACAAGGACGACGACGACGACGACGACTAAGAGGGCTAACAGGAGGCGGCAAGTAGCAGGGGAACGAGGACGGGAGAGGCCCGTGAGCATCGACGCGCAGACCCAGACCGTCGACTCCCCGGCGTGCTGCACGAGGACGTGCGCGCCGAGGACATCCCCTCCGACGACGACCAGTCCCTCATCGAGGAGCTGGCCTCCCCACCGCCCGCCCCTACTCCTCCCTCGCCGCACCAGCCCCGCGCCCTGTCCCTCGCAGATGCGCGCGCCCACCAGTTCCCCGTCACCATCCTGGAGAGGCACCCCTACACCAGCCAGACGTTTATCCCCCTCTCCTCTCCGCGCCGCAGGGCCGCCTACCTCGTCATCGTCGCCCCCACCATCTCCAACACCCCAGACTACCCCGCCATGCCCACCCCGCGCGGCCGGGGTCTGCCCGGCCCCGGCCTCCCCGACCTGAGGAGGTTGCGCGCCTTCGTCGCGTCCGGCGACCAGGCTGTCACGTACGGCGCGGGGACCTGGCACGCGCCCATGGTTGTCTTGGGCCGGGCCGAGGACAAGGTTGATTTTGTCGTCGTGCAGTTTGCGAACGGTGTTGGGAGGGAGGACTGCCAGGAGGTTGTGCTGCAGTCGGAGGCGCCGGAGGGCGGTGGTGTGCATGTGGAGATTCGGGGGATTCGGAGTTAGGGGAGGAAGAGGCGTTGAAGGCGAAGCTGTGAGGAGAGGGGGGATACCCAAACGAGACTATGAGTGAGGGAGTGTTATCCGACAAGCGGATGTGGTGAAGGTTGGTTTAATGGCGGGTAAAGTTGGGAAGGGGAGTTTGCTAATTTTGCATACAATCTCGTCAGCGGACGCATATAGATCTTTTTTTTTTGGAAGGGGGTTCGAGCAATAATTGTATTTGGGCTCCAACGCCGAATTTAGGACTTTGGAATACACACGGCATCCAAGGCCTTTGCTTTCTGCAATCATGTGTATACGCGTCGCTTTGGGTGTTACCTCATGGCCGTCTTTCCTGCTTTGTCTCGCTTGCGCGTGATTGTGACGCCGTGGACAGCGCAAATTGGAAGGTAGGAAGCGAGTTTGTGATCCTGCTGTTTTTTCAGTTCTTTTTTTGTTCTGCTCTCGCCGCTTGCTTCCTGCCCTTGGTCGTATTTGGCGACCATACGTCCATGTCGTCACAAGACTTCCTCCGAAAAGGGATACGACCGTACAAGGTTGACAAAGACAAACCAAACATCTACAGGACTATCGATTGCGTCTCTCATCGGCAAATTCTAATCCGCTGGCACTACATAATGCCCTTACGGTTTGTGAGCACAATCGAGGCAGCGTGCCGCCTAGGCACCTGCTCCTTGTTTGGGATCGGAAAGGATCACCACGCAAGATGATGAGCTCTCGGTTAACCCAAAAACCTTGGGGCTTGAGGTTATGATGAGGACTCTATATGATGCCTTGGTAAGTATATAATTAACGAAATCTCCACGTCACAGTTCATATCTCCATTCCGCATTCTCACGTCCCAGCCTTCACCACCACCACCCTCTACCGACAGCAGTAGATCTGCCTCCTCCACCGAGTCAAACTGACTCTAAATAGTATACACCCACCCACGATGAAAGGAGCTTCTCTTTTATATATCCCGGCACACATCAAGATCTCACCATCACGGTCCCGCCAGCAGGAGTCCCGGCAACCTACGACAGCCAGGATTCGGGCCATGATAACTGTGAACCCCGACATTGATCCTCGGTAAGAGCCTGCTTCGGATCCTTCGTCGAGTGTCTCCAAGATCCGGATCTCCACAGGTATGATGTCGATTTCGTATCGACCTGGCCCCACGATTCCGCTTACTAGGCTATCCTGGATGTCGACGACCCTTTGGTCACCGACATCTCTCTTTTTCCTTTTTCTCGACGCGACCGGTTTCACCAAAGCCTTATAGTGATCAACCACATCGTGGAAGATGCAGCCATCCCCGAGACAGGGGACTTAGGGGCGGCCGCCTTGTCCAACGCAGCCCAGATACGGAAATACCCGCCGTGCCTTTGTCTGATTTCCTTGCTTTCCCTCGCCTTTCTATCCTTCTTCACTCTTTTCAACCATATATCGGCTCAGAGATTTCGTCCCAGCTTCGACTCCCGCCAAACGGAACAGAAGGAAGAATGCCCGCCGTCGTGTGATGGGGGATCAAGATCCTGCACGCTTTTCCCTAGCCGGCCCAGTTACGATGGAAAAAGACCGTACGATTCACATGCCTCGACCAGCTAGTGATGAGGTAGAGAGGAACTTCTACACGGTAGTGCTGGGCCCTGTGAACGTGTTGGCCTGCAGTGCACGTCTGTATATATTCCACTCACCGACCGACAACGCTCCACTCGCCGCACACGCCAGTCCTATCGCCCGGCAGAGAGGCGGTCATCTAGCCGAGCCCGGGCGGGCCCCAGTCGAGATTTATCGCCGAACGCCAAACAGTCTCCTTCCAGAGTACTCGACTCTCCACTAGTATATCGGATCTTTAAGGCTCCCTAACTTACCATCCCAGTATCATGCTGCTGCCGCCCACCCTCCTAGCGCTGTGAAAACTGCGGTCCCTGAACCTCAAATCTCGTCGAAATGACCGCCGGGTCTCAGCACACACGATGAGAAAACACAAGCGTGCAAAGCCACCCCCGACGCCCTTATAGCACCTCCTCACGGCGCATCGTCGTGGGCCTCTCCCGGCCGTTCATCCTGCTACAGGCACGAGGGGTGCATACGTGACAAAAGCCCAAGGACAGAAGGCGGGTTCGCGGTATCTGCTCCCCAGGTCATTCTCCTTCTATAGAGTCTGGTGAATCTAGCCTCCGGTGATGCGTGTGTCTGCCCAACCTTCGAAATAAGAGGAATTTTCCAGATTGAAGAGCGAGTCATACCTTGGCTGCAACCGGGCCTTGGTAGCCTAGATCGACTCTTACGATCACTACGCGCACCCAACCTCCTTGCCCTGGATCGGGGCTTAGCTATGGTTCGATGACGACTAGAACGACTACTTGGAGAGAAGTATGAACTCCGAAAGATAATACCAGACTTAGTTATCGAGCCTTATATACCCCTGCACCGATGTTGGCCAGATAGAATCGTCGAAGCGAAAGCCACCAGCACCTTGGTCGCTCGAGAAAAGAATAAAGGAGCGGTTCAACTGCCCCGTCGTCCTACGGCCCGCAAAAGCGTCTGGTCGCTCCTTTGCTCTGAGCCTTCTTCCCTGACGATCGACCTCATACTACAGTGATGGTTGTTTCTTTCCCTCTTGGCCTCCACCGAGCTCCACAAGAGAACCTCCCCTGGAACTCTGCGCTATTCATCTGATCCCCTGCGTCTAATTTAATATAGGATATCACACCGTCTGTGCCTTGGGCATGTGTACCGCTCGGCGTCTGTCGTTCTTGCTAAAGCGTACAAATATATATACTTGCGGAACACGTGGGAAGCTGCTGGCGCTTAATATCTCGCCCTGCGATTTTACCATCCCTGGCTGAAGGACACGAGCTTCCTGGCAGCGTGTGCCTCTGCGATTCCAACCCCGCACTCAAGCGCGTCCATCTAGCGCAAGAGGGTATCCTACTCCGCCCTACTTATTCACGGGAGAAAATGGGGATCATCATGATACTGGTCTCTCCCCAGTCTTGCCTCCTACCTTTGGTTATGCAGGAACTGGCCGTGTCCAAGCAGCGGGGGCTGCAGTCCCAAGCTTCCATCTACTTGATGTCCGCGTTTTAGAAGATGTGCGACTCCAGGGCATTAGGTAAGACGATAAATGATGAAGTGTGATTCCCTCTCCACTTCAGTCACCCTAGCTGACAGTTACAGCCCTCGTTAACCTAGGATAAGTCGTTAACGAAGTGGTCGGCTTCATCATCTTCCTGAGCCTGAACGCGCGACGGCGGAGAGCAAGGTGGGGCCCAACACCAAAGATCCCAGATGCACAACACGATCGTCGACGCTAGGAAACTTGACTTTGTGCGACGGATCGGGCCGCATGTTGTCGTCGCTCTAAAAGAAAATGGTGATCGAGGTGGTGCAGATACTCCAAGCAGACGACGGATGACGCCGCTGGCGTGTGTGCATCACCACGAGTCACGTGTCTGTGAAGGGCGCGGCTCGACGAATGGTGCATCTCCGCGGCTGTATATACACCTACGACGGTGCACACAACGTGCCCTCTTTTATAGATGAAGTCCTCTCAGTCACTCGTTGCACAATGCCTTTGGCCTTGGTGGCACTCTTCATCACACTTCAGGTCATGGCACTTTGGTTACGTTGGTGCAGGGGCTGCTCTAGCCCGTTGCGCCACTCAATATGAGCCGCTGGCCGGGGTAGGCCAAGGCAAGGAGGTAGCACATGGCTCCAAGTCGAAAAGATTGATATGGTCGAGTGCTAGATGTACTCAAACGACCGGTTTTAGTAGCAGAGGCACCGATATATAAAGGATTTGTCCAGATATTGGTTTCAAGGCACCAAGGACTTGGAATGGAATACTGAGATGCTGGGATGTAAGGTGGAGAGGGGAGGATACAAAATCTATGGCTTGTACAACTGGAACACGGACCTGATAAGGAAGTCGCAGATGACACTGCACAACCCTTTCTCCCCTCGAACCTTCCCCATTAAAACCTTCCACAACCTAGTGATAAAGGAGAAGGAGCGATCATGGGGCATAGACTACTATAAGTAGCATGTACCTCTGTGATTCACATAGTAAAAGTAGTTGAAAAAAACGCGTTAATAGAGCTTTTCATCTTTTCAACGATTTTTCTTATTGGCTGGCCCAGACTGGAATTCCGAATAAACAAGCTACATTGGAGAGTACATGTAGATTAAGAAACAAGTGTGACTGGAAGCAAGTGACTTGGGACTTTCTCAAGTCGCGAGACTTGACATCCATCGCCTCCAGTCCTGGCTCGGAGTTGTATACACGCCGGTTCTCATGAGCTTCACCCTGTACTTTCAAGGCAACAGGATCATTAGTCTCTTATACTCACTGGCTTAAGCTCAGTATATCGTCTTCGAGTGAGGTTGACGCGTGTTGATCCGAAGTCCAGAGCAACAGAACCGAGGACTTGCATAAATCCATCTCTTAGATAAATCCATAGGTGTATTGCCATGAAAAGACCACATGTTCCCTCAGTGACCATTCATCCGTATATGTCTATGAATCCATCTGAGCTCCAAGTGACTTGCTTACCCGTGGATGGCCCCATGGTCCAGCTCCGTGGGTAGTGGTCGCTTGGAATCCAAGCGGTCTATGGACTGACTAGGCGACTCATGTCAAAGCAGCCTTGAACCATTGACAACTTCTAGAGGTAGTTGACGCTTCCCAGTACCAGTTCCCGATTCACCTTGCCAATGGCCATCCCTCTATGACTCTTCCTCTTCCTGCCCTTTCCAGCTCTCCAGGGCTGATTGCGGCCCATGCCTCCCCTCCCCTTTTCCTATAAAAGGCGGAGTCTCCTCCAACTTGTTCTACCAACTTCTCCCTTCACCCAGCACAACACACCACTCCTTTCACCATGCCCCCTTTAGCTGCCCCCTTCTCCCTTCTTCCTCCCCTATCTCCACCCCATCCTCCATTCTCTGCCACATGGGCATAGGTTCTCTTAACCACTCTCAGCCGTGGCTGGCAAAAGGTTAGTTCCTGCCACCAAACTCCCCAATACTCAATCATGGAGACGGACACTTCTCTAACCACTTCGACACTCTTGGCAGATTGGCATGGAGGACCCATGTCTTGCTTGGCACTGTATAAGAGTCCATCCTCTTCGTACAACATCGTCGGCTAGCGAGGAGCCACTTTGGCCAGCGTGTCCAAATGGGTGTTCTTCTTGTATGTCATAACCTTGTCTGCTTCCTTATCTGTACAAGGCATCGGCTAATGTGATCACCTATAGCCAAGGCACCTAGGCCATTCATTATATACGGATGGGAAAGCTAAGCGCTGAAGCATTCCCATGAAGGAGGGGGAGGGGGAGCTACATTCACGACACATCCACTTAGAGGGATGTCTCATATATATTCTGGCCAAGGTATTTCACTGCTTCGTCATTCTATTAAGATAATTCATTGCTAATACCGCTCCAAAAGTTGTGTTCAAAACAGGCCAGCCCATTTCCTTTTTCGGCAGCGAGAGAGCGTTTGGCGATGTCTACGGTGCATCCTGTCTGAGCTTCGGAAGCTCCGCGTCAATGCCGATGACATCGTCAAGTTCAAAAGTGCCACATACCACCAGGCAAGCGACAGAAAGGCGCGAAGAGCGCGGCTGCAGCAAACTCGGCTGCGTCTTCTGCCGCGGCATCGGGCGGCAAAATTTGCCGAGCAGCTGGAGGACAACGAGGGATGTGTTTGTGGCTGCGGTAAACAAGTATCGCCAGTCACGAGCGTCCTTGGAGTTCAATGTTCTTCAGCTGGACGAGAATCATCTATGATGAGTTTTCGTATCCCGATATCGTGGTGGAAGCGCTTGTGCGCGAAGCCATCGCGTTGGCCCTTCTGGACATCGACTCACTCCGGTCCTTATATATCCGACCTAGCAGTCGGGAACCTCAGAAATCACGAGCGAGACTCGTTTTTATTTTAATTTTTCGGATTCAATTTGTCTCCTACAAGTTGAAGAAGCTATAGACCCTCTGCGTCTCCTGCCTTTGCGGCCCCGTGAAGAAGAAGACAAAGTACAGGAAAGAAAAGAAAAGAAAACCCCAAAAAAGAAGAAAAAGACAGGTGGAAGTAAGAACAAAAACAAGTACAGAAAAGTACAAGTATATAAAGAGGGAGAAAGACACGCCAAGCTTCATCCCCATCACCGAGATCCAGCGGTAGCCGCCACTTCAAACTCCGTTCAACGCCCAATGGAGGAGGCCTAAAAGATGTTGTGGGTATCCTTGGGATCGTACGACTTCCGAAGAAGCGTCGCGATCTCGTTAGCGTCCAGGATCGAACCCAACACCATGCTTTGCCCGGCCTCTTCCATCTCCAATTCGCCATCTGCCGCCTTTTCCATCGTCATCATCATCTCATCCGTGCCTGGCTCAGGGCGGATGTGGATGTTGAGGTGATGCGACAAGACGTCGACGTCGAGGGTGTGCCTAGCCACGAGATGGTAGACGTACACGTTCTTGGTCTGCAAGGGGCGGTTGCACCGACCCACGGCCTGCTTCATCACCATTTCCCAGTCGCGCTGGTCCCTCGTGAACAAGGGGCCCAGGAAGATGATGTGGTTGGCGATGGTCAAGTTGCTGCCAGCCGACTCGGGTGCCGAGAGCTTCTGGAGGAGGACGTCGCCCTCTCCGGCCTGGAACTGGCCAAGGACCTTGCTGGACGTCGCGGCATCATCCGTGCGGAGCACATCCAGCCCGGCCGCCTCGAGGGCTTTGAACGCGGTAGTAAACTGCTCCTCGTACGCTACGAAGACGAGGACCTTGTCGCCCTGCGCCTTGGCTGCATGTACGAGCTCGACCATGCGTTGAAGCTTGCCGCCCATGCCGAGAGATTCGATCGTGGCGGCGCCACGGCTGGTGACGAGGGCGTTGCCCGGTATGGCGAGGCCTGTGAGCGGGCACCCGCACTTGTTTGCCGTGCAGGCGAGAGCCTCAGATGTGCCGTCGTCGCGCTGCTGCTCTGGCGAGAGTTCACGGATGGAGATGGAGCAGGCGAGGCAGAGGATGTGGCCGCAACCGGCGAGGACATGCGCGTCGTGGGGGCTCAAGATGGTTGTCTCTTGGCAGCTGTGGCAGACCAGTTGGGGCGCGAGGGGCTCTTGGCTGATTGCAGAATCGCAACCTTTGCTCGTGCAGACGGGGCAGCTACCTAGGTCTGTCTTGTGGTGGCACGCGACGCAGGTAAAGTGCGCGCAGTTGTTAAACGCGCGCGCTTCATGACTCAATACGTCGCAGCGCCCACAAGCAGCGCAGCTTCGCCCATCGAGCTCGTCCCTGGCGAGGAGGAGAATGGACCTGAGGAAACGCCAGCGGCGGAGAGCCTCGACAAACTTGAGATTGACACCCTCGGAGACGCTCTGGGAAGTGAGGATGAAATCGTCGAGCGCCTCTTCGATCTTGGTGCCCCGCGTGGTCTTGCTCCTGCCGAGGATCGGGTAGTCGCCTGGAAGACATGTGCCGAACTCGTAATACTTCTCCGTCAGCTTGTCGAGCTGGTGGTCGCGAAGGCTGGCTCCGTCCTTGAGGCCAATGTAGCGACCGTGCATCTTGTCAAGGCTCGCGCTCGTGCTTGCGCCGCCACTACCAGTTTGGGTGATGGTGTCGACGTGGGCCGCGAGCGTGGCGTTGTGGGTGTGCTCGACCTCGCGTTCAAGAAGGGCGCGGAGCTGGAAGAGGAGAGGTCGCTCGTGTCGAGGTCACGCTGGGACGCGTGGGCACAGTCTTTGAGCACCAGCATCAATTCGGTGCGGGACATGAGACTTGCCCTCTCTTGAAGCTGCGGGTACCACTGTGTGAGGTAGCTGGTTCCCGGTCCGCTGTCGCACCTCTGCCACCCTGCCGATTGCCAATTGCCGGGGTTGTCGTAGTGCGGAGAGTCAACGGGTCCCAAAAGACAGGCTCGGATGAGGTAGGTGGCCTCGACGCCACCGATGCCGCCAGCTTGGGTGTCTGCGACCTGGGCAATGATGTCCGCCAGATACCGCTGCGCTTGCATATACTTGTTGGCACGCAGGGCTTTGGCCGCAGATGATTGTTTGCCAGGCATGGGGCCAGAGACTTCCTCGTCAGCGTCTTCGGCTTCCTCTTGATCCTCGCCCTCGTTTTCCGAGTCCCCGTTATTGTCGTCCCCGTCGGCGTCCTGCTGTGCTTGGCTGGCAGTGGCCGCGTTCTCGGCAGTGTCGGGGTTCGCTTGCTTCGCAGTCCACATCAGTCGGTCGAACTGAGACTTGATGAGCAAGAAAAGGCGCTCGAATCCGTCGCGGGCTTCTTGTTCAATTAGCTCGAGCAGATCGGTAACGCTGAGCTGCTGCACGACGCCGTCGTGGTCCAGGCCGCGAAGATGCCTGTAGGATACCTCGACGGGGAGAGTCGGTGCGAGAAGCAGCGCCTTGACGGAGAGGTTGAGCCTTTCCTGCTGGGAGACCATGTTGATTGCGGCAAACCCCTTGGGCATTTCCAAGAGGGCGAAAAACCTCGCGCTCGCTTCGGGTGACAAGGACAGCGGATCCCAGCGCGCGTCGTGGAGATTCTGCTGGAGGGACAGATAGCTGGCCGAAGCAGTGGTCTCGGACGCGACGAGAACAATCTTGCGCACAACTCGAACACGCGGGTTCAGAATGGCCTTGTTGCTGCTCATGAAGTTGGCGACAAACGCCTCCGCTTGGCGGTGTCGCTCGTACGCAAACGTGGCCGTCTTCAGCTGGCGGAGGGCGCGGTACTCTTCGGACGCGGACATGTCGGAGGCAGAAGGTCCCTTGGTGACGGGAGGAAGGTGGAGAGGCAAGGCGGGCTCTTCTCGCGCGACGTGAACATTGATCAATGACGCCGTCGAGCAGAGCCTCTGGAGATCGGAGAGGGGAGGAGTTCCGGACAGGAGCCATTTGGCGCCGGCGACTGCCTCCCGGACGAAAGCTTCCACCACGATATCAGGATACGAAAACTCATCATAGACGATTCTCGTCCAGCTGAAGAACTCGAGGGCCGCTTGCGACTGGTGATACTTGTTTACCGCAGCCACAAACGAGGCCTCCTTGCCCTCCAGCTTTTTGATAAGCTTCGCTCCGGGGAAATTGTCGCCTGATGCCGCGGACGCAGCCGTGCCCCTCGCGCCCTTCTTTCGCTTACTGGGTGGCACGTGGCTCTCCCAAGCTTGTCGAAGAACCTGATGACTTTCGCGGACCTTGTTCAAGGCCGCGGTACCAATGTCGTCGGAGTCGACGTGAAGCTTCCGAAGCTCCCGGCAGCACGCACCATAGAAGTCGCCAAATGCCCTTTCGTTGTCTGGCCCGATCATGCTCACCTGTCCCGAAGCGTCGGCTAGCTTGGCGCGGAACACGCCCGAGAGTCGAACAGCGGTGAAGGATGCCAGCACAATGTCCGCTGCCGCCAGCTTTTGTGCTGATGGGAAGGCCGCCCTCTTGCGAAGGACGACCACGGTCCATGTCCGGTTGCCACTTTGTAAGAAGAACTCGATCTCGTTGCTCCATTGCTCCAGGATGTGGTCCGGAACAATGATCAGAGTGGCCTTCAGCGCGGTCAGGCCGGGTGACTTGATCCGGCGAAGGTGCATGCAATCGGCTACGAGAGGGCGCTGGAGATCAAGCAACGCCAGAGTCACCACAGTTTTGCCGAAACCAACTTCCTGGGCGAGGACCCCTCCGCGAGCCTTGTTCTGTCTTGTGACGCGGCCCACGATCCTGATCCCCGAGGATGGCTCGACATACTCCTCCACCTCTTCCTCGGTGAAGACCACGGCTGGATTTTCGCGGTCCTGCATCCACGCTACAGCTTGCGCTTGGTCAATGCGGAGAAATTGGCCAACACGAAAGGAAGGAGGGCGGAGCACAGCAGTCTTCTTCACTTGCGACGCATCGCCTTCCGAGGGACTAAGCAACCTCTCGAGGGGCAGGAAGGGACCAGGGTTATCCGAGAAGTTGTGCCACACTTGCGCCATTCCGTACGTCTTCCTCGCCAACCTCAGCCCACTCGCACCCGTCGCGATTGGCAAGTATCCTCGCGCGCGGTGGATGAGCGCGGCAAAATCAATCTTGATACCCACGAGAAGCGACGGCCCAGCAGCGGGACGCACCGAGATTTGCATGGGCGCGGGGCGGGTATTGACGCGAGCCTCGAACTGGTCGCAGCCGTGGGTGCCCTCGATGATGGAGACGACTTTGCACTGGTCGTTGCGGATGCGGTGGACGGGAGGCAGGGTGGGAACGCAGGCTTTGCAGGGACGTCGCTTGAGGCTGAACCTGCCCGCAGGGCCTTGCACTTGGGGCACGGCCATGATGGCGAACCTGATCAATCGGAGGAGCGCGCGCGAGTCTCTCTGTCGGATCGGATAGAGGCCGACGCCATTTTCGTCGGAGGCGGTTGTCAACGCGTCTGTGGTGACCCAGTTTTGACCCCATAGCCTCTCGTGGAAGGAGCTGAAGAAGGGGAAATCTTTGAGTGGGATCACCATGTGCATCCAGGTCTTGAGTTGGCCGCAGGTCTTTCTCTCAACGAGCCCCCATGTAGAATAGTTCATCCAGAGGCTTGGCAAGTTGGCAATGGTGGAGATAGTTAGAGGGCCAGAGACGAGGTCGAGGCGAGAGTGGTGATGGAAAACAGCCCTGACCCAGTGGCCCGGGAATTGCATTCAATTCCTCCAGGAGGCAGAGGGATCTTGGGAGTGGCCTTTCCGGCCTTCTTCTTCGATCCCTCGCCTTCATCCTCCGAGCTGTCCTTGTCCGAGTCGTCTTCCGGCTCGGGCTCTGGTTCAGTCTCGTCCTGGGCGTTGGCCTTCGCGATCGCGGGGGTAAAGCAGCGCGCCTTGATATAGTAGCTTTAGCATTGGCGGCTTCAATAGCCCGCTCCCATTTCGACTTTATAGGTAGATAATTGACAGAAAATCGAAGCTTGACGTCGCGGTGCTCAAAATCGTGAAGTACGCGGTTGGTGCCCGCAATGATCCAGTGATCGCGCGATCCCGCCGTCTCCTTGCTGGGATCGCGGAAGTGGTAGAGACCCGCGGCCTTGTTCACGTACAGTAACGCGTGCGAGGTGCCGCACTTCTCGGTCAGGGTGTACTCCGTCTGTAGGAGCTGCGCGAGCGAGTCGTACACTGCGCCCTCGGTGACTTGTTCGCCTGACTTGTTGGTGACGGAGAGGAGGTCAAACGCGATGCCCTCGAGAACATCGACGCCTTCCCGGATGCGAAGAATTACCTTGTGCCTGTTGGCCACCCAGAGTTCCCAATCGTTTTCGCCGGGGATGATGGAGTGGTCCCTCCCTTTGAGAACGGCGCGAACAACTTGAATATGGGGGTCCTCCTTGAAGCCGACCTTCCAGCTCGAGGTACGCTTCACGTCAAAATACACGTTCCAAGTGACAGCGTGCTCGTCAATGACCACATCAACGTGCGCCTTGGCCGACTTGTAGCGAATAGTCAAGCACTGGCCCACGTGGCACTCGTCAAAGTAAAAGTCGTACCGGCGCAGCAGGTTTCGAACGCAGCGCGGGCCTTGTCGGTGATTCCCTGCTGCCCAAACGCGTCGAGAGGAGGCACGCGAATGCCCGCGGCCCCGTCGGCTGTGGTGAGATTGAACGTGGAGGGGAATTGCTGCATCAGCGCCTCCTTGGTGTGGGACTCGGCGAGCAGGGGAACGAGATGGGGAAGGCCACGAAATTGTGCTTGGGGTTGCCGGCGCACTTGTGGCAGCGGTACTCGCCGCAGTCCACGCAGAGACGGAGACCGACGGCGCGGTTGCGGATGCTGTAGCCGTCGCAAGGGCAGTAGGATCGACCTTGCACGAAGAGGTCTAGAGCCCACGAGACGCGGGCGTCGATTACCGTGGCACCCGTGCGTTGAGATTCGTCGTCGCTGGGCTCGAGAGCCAGGTCCGAGTACACGGCGGGGCCCCGCATCAAACCCTCCAAGAAGCTGCGCGCCGGGGCGACAAGCCCACGACCCGACCCCTCGGCAGCGTGCGCCTCGGCTGCCAGGGCAGAGACGCACACGGCAGCGACGACGGTGGTGGTCATTGCATTTCCGGCCAAGTCCTTCCAGTCCTTGTCCGACTCGGTGGACGGCACGAGCTTGTCGGCCTCGATGCCTTGGAGGTAGAGGATCTCGAAACCCGTCAACATCCGGCCCTGGCTCATGAGGAACTGGAGACCGGCGGGCGTCTGGCAGGGGTTTGCCCAACCTGCCCGGGGCTGCGGTCGACGTTTTGGGAGAGGTCGATGACGTGGTTCTTGTGGCGGGTGTCGAACCTGTGCTTGTGGTCAATGATCATGCGCAAAAGAGGATGTCCAGCAGGTCGTTGACGCGCTGGCCGAGGGATTGAATCAGCGTGCCGTGGGCCAGGTCGTAGGGCCGGCACATGCCTCGAGCGTCCAGCAGCGTATAAGGGTTCGCGCGTGGGGGATCTTGTAGTCGCGGCGAAACGCTTCGTGCCGCATCTTGCACATGGCGGCCTTGGTGTTGGGTTCGCGGCTGGCGCCCCTCTCGACGGGGATGATGTGTTCCCGGACTTCTTTGTCGCCGTAGCGGCGGACCAGGGAGGAGAGGGGGATGCGGGCGCGCGGGCGGGCCTGGAGGACGGACTTGGACCAGGCTTCGAGAATGGGGGTGGCGATGTCTTCGCCGTAATGGCGCACGTCGACGGCTAGGACGTAGCCGCGGCGGCGCGTTTGGGGCAGGCCGTAATCCACGGTATCCAAGAGGCAGACTTGTCCATGGTAGCCAATGCGGTGGAAATAGTAGTTGATGATGGCATCCCAGGGCGCGGTGCTGACATTTTCGAGAATCACCATCTTGGGGCGCACCTCGTTGATATACTTGAGCGAGGCGAGGAACGTGGTGGCGGACTCGCTCGTGGCCCCGGCCGCCGCCGTGAGGAAGCTCGCGATGGCGTCCGCGTCCAGGTAGTAGTCGTCCACGTCCTGGGTGCCCACCATGCGACGCAGCGCCATGTTCTTTTTCGGGTTCAGCGAGGAGAAATCGACGCACGACGAGCCCACGACGAGCACGTCCACCTTGCGGGGCACGTCGGCCTTGGCGCCCGCGGCGGTGGTGGCCTTGTCCGACTCGGCAAACTCGACGACGTCGCGGAAAATATTACCTTGGGGGCAGGCGTTGCGGCGGATAAACGCCTGCTTCATGGACTCGATCTCGACGCTGAAGACGTGGTCAAAGGAGAACGCGGCGCCGACGCCGGTGGCGTAAAGGCCTCTTGCAGCATCCCCAGCGCCATGATGGGGGCGTCGGTGCCCGAGCACAATGTTCCGACGGTGAAGTGGCGGCCGCCGGTGGAGAGGAGGGTGCGGAGCTGGGGCCCTTCCATGTTGGTGATCATGCGCACGAGGATTTCGGGAATGGTGCCCACGAGGTCGAAGCGTTCCACCTCGGGCTTCTTTCGGGTCTTGCCGGTGGCGGGTTTCTTGGCGGCCTTGCGCGCGGCCGCGTTCTTGTCCTTGTCTGCGGCCCTCTTGGTGGTTCTGGCCGCGCGTGCGGGGCGCTGGGAATGGGCGTGGGGGCAGCGGCAACCTCTTGTTCTTCCTCCTCTTCATATTCCCCATCCTCGCCCTCGATATAGGCTTGAGGTCGTTGGGACGATTGAGGGTCCGGAATAGTATTTGGGGTAAACGTGCCGTTTATCAAGGCTGCTAGTGCAGTATGAGCCACCGCGGTTGCCTGAGCACTTGTCATTATTTCTGGCGGCACGGGAAACATTCCCGCACGAATAGCCAGTGCTTCAACGAAGGGAGCCAAGCCATAATCAAGGGTCGCCATTTGAAGAATGCCCGTGTTGTTGTGTCGCGCGAGAGGAAGAGGAGGCCCCAAAGTCACGGCCCCTCCAGCTCTCGGCCCGGCCCGAGCAAAAACGATCTGGGGCCCGGCATTCAAACTCAGGAGATGGAAATTGAAAGGCCCCATTCCCCCATTGAGCATATCTTGAGCAGACATGGGAGCCGTGGCCATGATTTGTTGCTGACCCCAGGGGGCGATACCTTGAGCGACCGAGGGTGGCTGGGGTTGGCTCGTCATGTCTACGGGCAGAGCCGCAGCTCCAAATGTGGCCTGTTGGATGTTCTGGGCGGGCGGTGCATTCGTCTAAAAGTTGCTACCCGCTCCTGAACACCCGCGTGGCTGGCAAAGGTGGCGAGGTCACTCGAGGGATTGCTCGAGCGACAAGCCCCAGAACAGCGTCGTTCCCCATGGGCGAGTCATAGATGGGCTGGTAAGGGGTATAAGATGGCATGTTCTGCGAGCCAAGATTGGCGAATTGCTCATTGAGAGCATTACCGAGTGGGTAGAGAACGGCAGTCTGATCGGTCTGGACGACTGCTTCGAGCTCATTTCCGGCAGAGGCGGTATTGTCTGAAGAGAATCCCTCAAATTCCAAACTCATTTCCATCTCGGCCGGTTGCTCAGTAAGGGCATTGTTGAATGGATGAAAAGCGGTAGTCTGATCGCTCTGGACGACTGCTTCGAGCTCATTTCCGGCGGAGGTGGTATTGTCTGAAACGTATCCCTGAAATTCCAAACTCATCTCCATCTCGGCGGGCTGCTCAGTAAGAGCATTATTGAATGGATAAAAAGCAGTAGACTGATCGTTCTCGGCGACTGCTTCGAGCCCATCTCCGGCCAAGGCGATATTACCGGGAAGGGCTTCACCATGTTCGGGAAGAATATTCATATCGGCGGGGTCATCTGGCCCACCGAATTCGACAGGAAGCTCGTAGGCGGACATCTTCCAAGGCTTACGTTTATCCTTTTATTCTAATAAAAATTATTTGGTTAGAACCTGGCTTTTCTTTTCCATAATACTGAGCGATGCAAAAATGACCTCGTGTTGGCCTTCACACGCAGCCACATATTCGCCCTCTTCTAACAGAAAGGGGCAAGGCACATCTTGATACACGGGACCATCCGCATCCGCAAAAGGGGACAGCGACAAGATAGAGAAAAGTATCATCTTACATGAGAGTGAGGATTTATGAAGGGGGTATGTATTCCGCGAGCGGAGAGACTTATAACAGTCAAAGAAAGACAATATAACCTGGACCAGAAAACAAATCAATATCTTGTTAGCCTGGCATCGACTTGCAACGCAAGGGGTGGCGATTGAACTCACAGTAACCCGTCGAAAGCTCCAAGGTGAGCGACCAACGTTTTGCTTCAGTAATTAAAAATGCCACAGGGCACTCAAAGTAGCGATTCCTTTTGAAACAATACTATCCGAAACGTCAGACGATCCATATCAGATAAAATACTAAGGGATAAATGGCAACAGCTCGCTCCCGGACAAGGGGACAGGAGGCACACTTGTTTCTCAGGGTTCCACTTACCTGGATCTCAGGGAATGACCAAATTTGGCTGAAGAGAAAGTATAAACGAACGCGAGGCGTGTCGAGGTGTTCTACCGGACGATATGCACTAGGTCAGTCAAAGCACTTTGGGCGAAGGGGCAAACACCGCGTGAGAGAAGAAATCGAGGTTATGAAGGGTTATACTTGAAGGAATCTTGAGCAAGTGAAGCAAAGAGTACGCGTCAGTTGAGAGTCAAGAGAGAGCTACGGGCGGACCACGATGGTTACTCACACGATACTAGCTTCAGCAAAGCTGGAATGAAGTTGAAGAAGTGAAGTAATGATACCCGAAGGTAGATGAGAATAGTGATGGAGATAAGAGGGGTTAGGCAAGGGAACAGTAATAGAATAACTGATGATGGGCGAGGCGATGGTGTATGCAGATGAGCATGGGGAGGGAAAGGGAAAAGAAGGTTGGAATTTCATGGGAGGAATTGGGCTAATTTATATCCCTCGGTCGGGTGGCTCGAGGGGCAGGAAACGGACTGGAGCAGAATGGCAGGAGCATAGGGAGGCAGGCCAAAACCTGAGGGTGAGGCCGGATATGGTGATGCCGTGCGACCGGAGGGTGGTGGTTCACAGCCGGCGTCTAAAGCCCGGAGTGGGGCCGTGTGAACCTGGCATTATGATTGGGCTGCTATTTTAGGCGTTGAAGGTGTGCAGGGCAATTTGGGAAGGAACCAGGCATCCCTTTCCTTTTGGGACTGGAAAAGTAGTTTTTTTATTAAGTCATTTTTTGATTCACAGTAAGGGAGAAGGAACCAATCAATACTAAGAAAAAGAATAAAAAAATGTTCAAAAGGCCTCTGCTCCAGAGGGGGACATGAATCAGGGCAGAATTTTCACTCGAGCTTTGTCAACCGACGTCCTCGCGTCCACCGAGGATGCAGAAAGATCCACCGAGAAGAATGCGAGTACCAGCCGGAGTTTGAGGCACCGAGGTAGATGGCTTTGTGATCAAGCCTTATTTCTTCTTTAGCTATTAAATCGAGACGATCATCAAGCTTGAACGATTGCGAGAGACACCAGCGATGAGAAGAGAGCAAGAAGTAGAGACCAGAATGGTGCCTGCATATGTTGATCATGGAGATAATTAAGGCTTTAGAAATATACGAACGGGAATTTCTTCAACGTAAACCGTTCTCAGGTCTCCTAGTTGAATATGCACTCTAAGCTACATACGTGCGACATCCACACCAACAGGTACCAAGTCATTTTTCTCCTTGGGTGGTGCCTCGTCCTCTCTCACATATCTCAAAGGGCAGTAACTACTCAATGAAAAAGATGGGAGAAGATGAGAGAAGAAAAGGGAAAGCCGCAGCCATAAGAGCTAAGCATCGTGCGGCATCATCAACTCATAAAAAAATGTCGTCAACTCCTCTTCAGCCGACGTCGTTCTCCCAGTCACGTGAACATCGGCAGAAACCCACCGGATCGAGGAGAAATCCCCGATGTCAAGTCCTCGGGAAAGGATTAGCTCCGCATGCCTAGTTGCTTACGCATCACTGTCTGCGTAGATCGATGCTAAAAGAGAAATACGGGGTTGTCGTGACTCCAGAAATCTATAAACCGACGGTGCATCCGTCTCCATACGTCTTCCCCTCCTCTTCTTGCCCGGCTGGCAAACTCGCCCTCATCTCACAGCCGATTTTCCCCCTCCACACGATCCAGAATAATACGGACGGACCCCTGCTTCCACTCTCAACCATGGCTCCGGAATCCTCGTCGCCGGACCCCTACTCCGAGCTCATCGCAGCTTGCGATACTCCGGTGAGCCCAATATCCCCATTCCGGCTGAGAGCTCCAGAAGAAAAAGAACAAAATAGAAAATACATGTAAAAAAAAAAAAAAAGAGAAAGAAAAACAAAAACCTCTGTAACAAAAAAACCAACCTCTGCTCTCTTCATCCCTAGGCCAAGATGCAAGCCGCCTACATAAACCACAGAACAAACCGCGGCGCCCAACAAGCCTCCCTCTTCGCCTCCCCGACCTTTCCCGGCGTGACCAAGGACCACTACCTCTCCATTACGGAATTCTCCAAAACGGGCAAAGACCTTTCCGGCGTCCCCCTTGATCCCCGGAACAGCATTACGCTATGGGGCCGGCCGCCCGAGCATATTCTCAAGATGGCCTCGGCCGTGCAAGAGAAGCTAAAGCAAGCAGCTCCAGGTAAGGACGGTTCTACCAAGGAAGTGAATATATGTTCATGGAGCCTTTCATACTAACACAAAAAAACACAGATCTCTGGCTTATGCCTCCCCAAAGAATGCACATCACCGCTATAGAGCTCGCCTTCAACAAAACCCCTCTGAGATCACTGACCTCCTCAACCCCTAAGGCCCCAGATCCCCGCCCTCGTCAACTACGCTTACGCGAACCGCACTCGACTCGTGAAGCCCATGGTCTCCTACGACGCCACCGGCGTAGCCCTCACCTTTGTTCCCGCCGCTGGCGAGCCACGCACCTCCCGTGACCCGGACCCGGCGGGCATCCCGGACTTCGCCCCTACGAATCAGCAGCACCTTCGTCAAGCTCCCGTGGATTGTGACGAGTACACCTACCACCACCTCCGCCGGGACGTCTACAAAATCATTACCAGTTGTTTCCCATCCGCCCCCGAGGCGCGGTACCAGTATCCCTCAGCCCACATTACTTTGGGTCGTTACCTCGCCCTGGAGGACTATTCTACACCGGAGAAACGAGAGAGGTGGATCGCCGCCGTGGATGACATCAATCGATGGCTCGAAGAAGAGGTGTGGACTGATCGAAGTGAGTTCGTTGGCGAATGGATCCTTGGCCATGAAAAAGGGCTAGAGGTCAGAGCCGGCATGTTGTGGTATGGTGGTGGTCGAATGATTATGGCAGGCGAAGGTTTCTAAGTCAGTATGGATCAAAGGTTAAATACTCGATAGACAGGGTAGAGATAGAGATAAGAAGCATCATCCATCGCGCCCACAAACGCACAATCTCCAAGCAGCTCAGCTGGGAGAGAAAAGTCAGAGCACATGCAGTAGTTCGGGGTGTAGAGCAAGGGATATAAACGATATAAGACAACGAAGAAAGAAAGAATTTGCGCCAACGGGCTTGGTTCTTTTTGTTTATAAATTCATTCCCTATGGCTCCGCCTCCCAAACCCGGAAGGCCCTCATCTACCACTTGTTTCGCCAGAAATCCGTTCCGTGATTCATATGCCATGAGTAGTAGAGAATACGACAGTGTAGAGGAGGAAGCATGACAAATGCAATTAGAAAACAAGAGCGGCACCCTTCGTCTTCTTGTCACCACTATAAGAAGCATGATTGTTAGCATAAGGTCTCGGCCTAAGATTTACCACGGTCGAAACAGCCTCGTGGAAATCGCACAAGTCACAAGAGTGCTAGCCGGGGTTCAACGTACCCAAGTTCGAAGTGCTTGCAACGCTTGAGGGCGAGCTGGGCCTTGGTCTTGCACTTGACGCACTCCAATCGCAACACAACCTTCTTCGTGGTCTTCGCCTTCTTGTGGAAGACGGGTTTGGTCTGACCACCATAACCGCTCTGCTTGCGATCATAACGACGCTTACCCTGGCTGTTGGCAACATGTTAGCTCTCCGTCCAAGTAGATATAATTTCCGAGGCACAGCTCCATCAGAGCTCCCTTTAACAACAAGTTTGACTTGGTCGTTCGTGCGGGCTGGTGGCAAACGTGATCGATCGGGGATCCGGGTAGGAAAGGGTCAAACATACGCGAAAAGGGAGGCCTATCATGAGAACGTTGATTAGTATGAGCTCAACGATCCAGAAAAAAGTTCGAGGTTTCGCTCTCGCGCATCGCAACGACGTACCTTGCCAGTCTTGTACTGGGTGACCTTGTGGGCGGTGTGCCTGCGGCACTCCTTGCCCTTGCAGAAGGTGTTCCTCGTCTTGGGAATGTTGACCTAGATCCATCCCATCGTCAGCCAACCTGAGCTCCCAAAACCTTCCATCTTCACTTTTCCCCGACGCTCCCAACGTTCGGCCTTATCTGTCGCAATCAAGAAACTTCCGGTTGGGAGACGACGAGGTATATGAAGGGGATTCGATGGTAGAATATTCGTTCGGTTTCAAACGTACCATTTTGTCGGTTTGATATCTCGCTAACTGGGTTGTCGACAACTAGGAGGGGGAAGGAAAAAAGAGGGAAGGGAAAAAGAGTAAGGCAAAGGAAATATTAGCAGGTACTGTCTCCGCAGTAGTGTGGTGGATTGATTTTCCCGCTTCTTTCGCACTGCGAATTGGTTATTCTTTGTGGGCACGGTCGCCGGACTGAGAGCTCGCACACGTTTTCCCCATTGGCCGGAATTGTGTCTTTGGCTGGTAGGTGGGGGAGGAGTTGAGCCACAGGGCTTAAGCACGGACCATCTAGAAAGAGGCGGTGGTGGCTGTCTTTGCACGTGATTTGGTGAATCTCGAGATGGCACCACGGGCCTTGAGCAACCAGAGGTGTCGGAAAAGCAAGTGGCTCTCAAATGTGGATCCAGCGGTTTCTTGCGGTGACTCAGCGAGTTTTCCGTTCACACTACATCGCGGATGTGCTGGAGAGCGTGGATGACGGAGAGATATAGCAGGAGACGAGATACAAGATGCCATGGCCACGTTTATGAATATGTATCGTATAGAAGAGCCATTCCGTCTGCCCACGAACTTCTGGGATGGCCACTAATCAACGATTCTCTTCGCCGAGAAGCAGGGCTTGTTGAGCGCCGTGCCAGGAGGTTCAAGTAGGCCTGCCAGATGCCCACGCACTACCTAACATCAAAACATCACGACACAGTAAGACGTAGTAGGCATTGAACAAAAACCAGTATATTCCATCGTCACTCATATAAACGAAAGACTCGCAGAGGAAAAAGAAAACAAAAACCAAGACCATAAGGAGGAGCAGGGGTCAAACAAACAAAAGCCTTAAACCAAAAGCCAAACCCCGGCGTCCTTGTACCCAAGCGGTCCTCACAGCTCGATCCATCTCCCGGTACCGTGATATCTCAGTATAGCGTAAAATAAAACAAACCAAGCAAAAAAAAGAACTCCACCATAGATAAACGGAGGAGTAGGAAATGTGGGGGCAAGGCACTCGGCCCACTCAACCTGGTAGGCAAGCCTCGTCAGGAAAGTAGCCTCCCAAAGTGGAAAAAAAGATGGGGGAATAACGACGATGGAGACGAGTAAAGCAGAAAAGCGCAAGGCGGAAAGAGGGAAGAGAAAAAAAAGCACTAAAACATGTAAATTCAAACAATCACACACAAAACCCCCACAGGCGAAGCTCTTTCAAAGCTAAACCACGATGCCCGGCCGAGATGAGGAAATCAGCACGTTCTCCGCGAGTGTTTAACCATCGAAAAACGCCCATCTCTTTTCACCTTCTTCCCTCTCTCTCTCTCCTTCTCCGTACGTCCCCGTCTTTGACCGGGACCTGTGACGCCCCCAACGCCAGGAAACGCCGGCTCACATGGGAAAACAACCAAGTCGCCCCTTTGTCCAACCTTAAACCCCCTCGCGATGGACGGAAAGCAAATCTTTCAAGGAAATAATAGACCATGATCCATGGCCGGTCCGCTATCAAGGGAGAGAGATACCTCGCTGCGTGTTCGATGCTGCGCTTGCAGCTAGTAAGGTTTCCCTTTCTATCGTTTTAGCAGTCCCCAACGATTGAGAAAAACCATGTCTACACAAAAATCGAGTCGAGCTCATAGCTGGCCTCTATTTCCTGAGGATCGCGTCATACAGGCTGACGAGCCCCGTTACGGCACTGCCGACAAGGACGCCCTTCCAGCCGCCGTACACGGCGCTGTTGATCCTGTCAATGCTCGTCGTGTCAACGAGGCCGCCCAAGGTGACGCCCTGCGCGTACACGACGTACGAGACGAGGGCCTTGACAATGCTAAAAGTGAGAGGATCGACAGTGTACTCGGACGTGGGGGCACGACGACCGCGGCCGGGGGCCGGCTGGTTCGCGACGGACAAGTTGTAAAAGTAGCCAAAGGTGGCGGGGACGACGAGGCTGGTAGCGAGCCAGAGCAGGGTAGGCGACCAAAAGGACGAGGTGAGCAGGAGGAACATGTCGGGAATGTGGACGGGGTAGTCGTTGGTGCCGAGGGGCGCGATGGCGGGGATGGTGAAGGCGTAGCGGTCGGCGAGGACCTCGCGGCGTAGGAAAAACAGCTCAAAGGCGGCGACGGTGAAGAGGACCGAGGTGACGGTGGAGAGGGACTCGCGCGTGGCGTGCGCGGCCTCGTTGACGCCCGAGTCTTGGTAGATGGACGCGACGCGCTTGCGCACGGCGACGGTGGAGCGGTCGACGGCCTGGGCGACGTCGGCGGGGAGGCCGGGAGGGGATGCGAGCCGCGAGGGAGGAGACGCGCGGCGTGCGGAGGATGGCGTTGGAGGTGCTCACGAGGGCGCGAGACTCTTCGTTGCTGCTATTCATCGAGTTAGTAACACGCGTTTGGCGGCCGAGCTAGCTGCGTAGCTTCTGGCTTCCACCCTTTCCTTGCGCGACGGCTAGCCTGAGGGATGTCTACTAAGGCGGCGCGCATCACGACAGAAAAAAGGGAAGGAGCGGGTGGCACTGGCATTGGGTGGGAAAAAGCGCGACATACTCGGGAGAGAACTCCTCGGGAGCCTTGGTGACGCGACGCTTGGGCACCTTGATGGGGCGGTCGGCCTCCTCGGAGACGGGCTCCTTCTTGATGGGGAAGATCGCGACCTGGCCTGGCTCTGGTAGAAGCCGGCGACGCGAGGGTCGTCGGAGAAGCTGGAGCTGTTCTGGCTGAGGTACTGTTCGAGGGCAATCTCGAGCTCGGCCTTCTTCAGGCCCTCATAGCTGTGACGCTTCTTGTTAGTGACCTTTGTTTACGAGCATCGTGGTGACGCCACACATTTTATCGCGCGTTTGGCGGACACGATGATCGCAAGAACCACAACACATCCTGTCGAAACCGATGCGCCGCGATCGCATTATCGCGCCGCACACGTTCCCGGTACGCGCCGCCGGCGGTGGTCTTGTCTATCATTGCCATCGACACCGCGGCACGGCGCAACGAGGTGCAGGTCGCATCGCGAAGAGCAAACAACCAGGCGACGCGGGCGGGTAAGGGAAGAGAGAGAGAGGGAAACAAAGGTCGAGGAAGGCCGCGAGCAACACTTACTTTGTGAGGCCGACGCCATCGGCAACATCAACGAGGTCGCTCTTGCGTTGCGCCCGCAGCCAGCTGTTTGAGCTCGACATTGTTGCGAATTTTGAGGGTTGAAGGGGGAGGGTGATGTCCAGGGGCGAAAGTCGCGTCAACAAATGAAGCGACCCGGCAGAGGATTCAAGAGAGTAGAGCAAGATGCAAAAGAGGTTTCCCAAAAATTGGTTTGGCAAGGGTAGTGTATAGGGCTTCTAGTAGCAAATGGCGATGACGAGGATTTTGGTAGGTAGGAAAAAAGAAACCCGGGGTGGGAATAATCCGCGCTGTTGTGGTATCTTGGTTGGGCGATGGAAGGGGGAAAAGTGAAGCTTCGGAAAGTTTTGGCTGGGGCCAGAGAGTGGTCAGTCCCGAGGATGCAGGCAAGGGAACGGGATGCGGTCTGGAAGGGTGTGTCTGTCCTGGTTTCTGAGGAGTGGCAGCTCTGGGGCGCACAGCAAAGCAAATAAGTGGGTGGCTGGGCCTGGCCTGACAGAACGCTTCAGGAAGGAGGACGGAGCATCAATAGAAGGGGTTCGAGGGAGTTTGTACAGGTACCTCGCAGACTTTCAGGGTGGAGGCTAGTGGAAGCTTGATCAACACAACTTGGTAGCTGTACATCCATCAGGGCTTCTTCAAAGGGGTATCTAAAGTAGCAGTACTGGGCGTTGGCAAGTGATTCGAGCTCTCCACTCCAGCCAAAGTACATCTTCTCCCTCCAGCAGTCGAAGCACCCAAGAGCACCCAAACCGATGCGCGAGCTTCCCACACGACTGCGTAATACCCCATTTGTTTTGTTTTGATTTCTTTCCCTGTCAGGACAACAACAAGAGCCGATTCCCTCTCGGCTCTGAAGCCCCCATGATCATTCAAGGCACATCTCTTTTTCGTGTCTTCTTCTTTTTACCAAACGAGTGGCATGTCATAATAACGAGGGTCCTTGTTTTCTGTTCGGGCGAGTTCCACTTGCGGGGAAAGCCAGCCGTGCATGCATTCGAGAATGCATCTCGTCCGGCCGGGCGCTGGCTGGCAGCATCATGAGATGCGGTGACGCGACTTTCGCTCTATGACATAATCCCGTCCGCCTTTGCACTTTTACTCCACACTTGGCCTTGCCAGCTCCACCTGCTTCTTCCTTTTTGGCAGACGAACATGCCCTTTGGCCCTGCAACGACAGGGACGCTAGGTGTTCTAGCAAAGGTACCCCAACGGTCGACGAGAATCCTCGTTTGCCAGTGAGCATCGCAGGTTAGAACCAAAGGAGTAAACAAAACAGAGTAATAAATCCACTTAATGACCCTAATTTCGCAATTTTATCTTTTGCTCTTTTCGCAAGTGTGTGGTTTGTTTACTTTTCCTTCAAAGAGGTCACGTCGTCGGTGCCAGAGCTCTCTCCTTCCTCTGTAGCCAATGATAATGAGTAAATGTCGGCCATAGCACCACCACTTCCACAGCCCAGCCAATCACCCCAGTTGGACAGACTCCTCGCCCCTCTCACGTTTTTGAACAAGAGCTTCCGGCAGGTCGACGCGTCCGGCATCTTGCCTCACCGGGCGTTATCCACCTAGAAAGGAGAGCAGGAACGAGGGCAGAAGGGAGGGAAGTATTCTTTTACTTCCCAGCTTATCAAGTCGGGACAGAAAGAGACACGGATCCGGGCCGAGCTCGGCTGGGGATCTCCCATAGCCGGTACTGGACACACCGAGACTCTATCAAAGACTGGAGCCTCACTTTCCCATAAGCCTCACCAAGATATGCTGAATGGCTTCCGTCCGCGTCGCCTCACCGAAGCAAGCCCCGTCCGGCCTTGAGCGCCGCGCGCTGCCTCCAGCTCAGCCTAGTTGACTTCAAGCAATGCAAAGACACAGTTGGAGTGGCAAGCCCGAAGGAGGCTCTCGAGTCTCCATCTATGTATCGAGACCATCCGGAATGCCGTATTAGACTAACAGATAATATAATGCTTTCATCCAATGCCTTGTTCCCATCTAGATATATACACATCCCCCAAATAATGTTATACAAAGCGCGCACGCACGCCCCATCAATCCACCCAACTCACAAACCTCTCCTCCCCCTCCTCACCAACCGCACCGGCACATCCTCCTCCCCGCCCTGCATCTTGAGCGTCAACACGCTCGTCGCCCCTTCTATCCTCTTCCTGCACCTCTCCTGCGCCGCCCCGTACAACTTTGCCAGCCCCTCTCGGTCTCGAGTCTCACCTTCACCCGTCTCGAAATCCCCCACGTCCAACTCCAGGCTATACCGCTGAAACAGCACCGCCAGCGCCGCCACGATCTCGACCTGCGCGATCCTACGCCCCAGACAAGACCGCGCCCCGTCGGAAAACGGAATATACGCGCCCCTCTCCGGCCGAAACAGCCGCGCGCTCGTGTCCGGGCCCGCGTACCCGCCCATGTCGGCGTCGTACTCGTCATTCTCATACTCGCCGCCCCCGCCTTCGCCGCCGGGGCTTTTGCTCTGCGACGACGACGCGGGGAAGGAGACCGCCCATTTACGCCGTTCTTGCCCTCGACCCGTAATCGCTCCCACCCACCCTCCTCCTCGTCCTCATCCTTGTCGTTGTCGTCATCAGAATGGCCCGGCCGCCTCCGGAACCACCGCGCAGGCACATAATCATCCAAATCCGTCTCCGCCCGCGTCACCCGGCTCCGCGTCGTCGGCCAATACCGCGGATTCCTATGCGCCGCGACAGCCACAAGACTAATCGCCGTCCCCTCGGGCAAAAGCACAGTCCGCCCGTCCAGCGTGACCGTCTGCCCGCCACCATCGCGGGTTGCCGCCGCTACTTTTTTCGGCACCTCGACCACCGACGGCATCTTGCGCAGCGTCTCGTTCATGCACGCGCCCGCCGTGCCCGCGATCAGCGCGTTGACCGTCGCTTCGTACGCCCAGTCCCGGGATCCCGGTCGCCCAGCAGCGCGTCGAGATCGCGCTGCAGCGCCCGCTGGACGGCCGGGTGGGCGGCTAGTTCCAAGAGCGTGAAGTGCAGGGCGTTGGCCGTCGTCTCGTGGCCGGCGACCAGCATGATGAAGGCGTTGCCGAGGATGTCGGGTCGGCCGAGGCGGCCCATCGTCGCGGCACTGGCGGTGGGGCTCGGGGAGCCAGGGATGGGGATGGGGATGGTGGTGTTTTCCCGTTGGCGCGGAACGCGGATTGAGCCGCTTTCTTTTCCTGGTCGTCGGTGGTGGAGGATGCATCGCCGTAGGTGGAGCGCACGAGCTGGCCCATGATGTCCATGCCGGGTTCGGCGTCGTCGACGTTTCCGGCGCGGAGCTGCTGGAGCTTTTCGTCGAGGAGTTCGTTCATGTAGGCGACGTAGTTGGTGTAGGACTCGGCGGCCTCTTGCGTGCGTTTCAACGGAAGGAGCTCTGGAAAGGTTGAAATTAGCTTAGGTTGGTGGATAGCCAAGTGAGTGTGGGGGTGGGTTTCTCTACAAGAGGAGCTTCCTCCTCGCACAAAGGAAAACCGATAAAAACATACTCAACAGCCATTGCGGTAGAACCAACAACCACAATATCCTCTCCAGAAGCGTCGCAATCGTATCGATAAAACTCAACGTATGCCCATCCACGGGCTCCAAGCTCGTATACTTGACCAACCTCGGATCCGTACCTTCAGGCAGCGCCTGGCCGGGCCACAACATGCGCAGCCCGAAGCCGACATACCCTATAATATTAAGCGCGAGACGCATCGTATCGCGGTCAATCGTACGTATAGGCCCCGGGGACGACGCAGACGAAGAGCCAGCCTTCTTGTCTCCTTCGCCACCACCACCCGGTCCCCGAGAACGGCCCTCCTGGTCAGCCATCCACTTGTCGAGCATGCCGCGCGTCTGCTCGGCAGCAACGGCGAAAACGAGGGCGGCATTGCGCTCGTTGAAGCTCGCGGCGGTGGCGCGGCGGTGAATGCGCCACAGGGGACCCTCGGTGGTCAGGGTGTTGTCGCCAAACTGCTTGAGGACCTCGTAGGTCTCGACGAGCTTGGGAAGTGCTCGCGGCGCTGGGTGACTTGGCGGATCACCTCGGCGTTGTCGGTGAGGAGGATGGAGGCGTGGGGGACACGACGAAGAAGGCGGGGCCGTGGCGGGCAAAGATTTTGTGGTTGTGGATGTAGGACCAGTCGGGGAGGATGAGACTTTTTGGGAGAGAGAAGGGGCGTCAGTATTTCGGGGTGGAAGGAGGAAGAAATGTATAGCTGGGAAGGAAGCCAAGCTGGACAGTTGACTAAAAAGAAAATTCTCACGTTATCCAATTCTCCCACCATGACCGAGGCAGACATGTTCGGACAATGGGGATCCAAAGCTTGTGGGTAACTTGGGCAGGCAACGAGAACGGCGAGACGGCTATTCCCCACGTTAGAAAGATGGTCAGCGTCAACTTACAAGTCCAAAAGACGAAAGCAAACTCCACAGCACTTGACATGATCTCTAGCAAAAAAAAAAAAAAAAAGAATATGGATATCCATGCGGAAATCAACTCACGGGATACAATGTATGGCAGCCCGCTTTTCTTGGCGCCTTCGATGTTCTTGTTGAGACCGGCCAGCGCCGAGTATACCAGATATGCGACGAGGGCCACGCCGACGGTGGCGGCTGTCGGTATCGATGCGACGCCCATTTTCGTTGTTCTTCCTCCTTTTCCCTTCTCTTTCTTCGATTTCCTGAGAGATGAGCTCTCTCGACAATCAGTTCCTCCGTTTCACGTCGCTCGTGTCGTCTCCCTTTCTTCTTATTTTGGTGGGGAAACTCGCAGCGTCGGAGGGTAGATGCGGATCTCCGGCGTGGAGCCCGGGATGCTTTGAATTCTCGTACGGAGAGGTGCCGGCGCCGAATCAACACTGCATGCTCCCTTTCTTTTCGGAAGGCAGATGGATCGTCAGGGCCAACCGGGAATCTAGGAGAAGGGGAGGAAACGGCGTATTGACGAACGGCGCAACGGGAGGTTTTAACACACTTAAGGAAAAACAACGGCGCAAAGGGGGATTCCTATCCTGATGAGCAGGTGAGAGTGGAACAACAGCGCAGAGAAACCAAAGACATTCCCATAGCCCGAGACAACGACGAGCTGCGCACAACGAGATAAGATGCGACGAAGAGGTAGGAAAAAGAAAGAATGAAGAAACAAAAAAAAGGAACAAGAAAAGAATCAAGGAGCCATGGGTACAACAAAAACACAGTCTCCCTCTCCCCTCTTTCAATTGTTCGAGAACCCCGCTAGAGAAAGGAACGGGAGAATAAACCCAGCACAGGCGAACCTAAAAAGACCAGGGTTCGGCTTTGAGTTGACCCTCTTGCGCTCCCCCTCCCCTCTCCTCTCCTCCTTGCGCGCCGCGCTTTGTGTTCAATGTTGGATATCTAGCGCGGTGAATAGCGTAGCCGTGCGTGCCAAAGTGTGTCCAGGGCTGTGTGGGACGGGCAAGGACCAGGGACTGCACGGCGAGCAGAACCCCGGTCCGTGAGGCGTCCCCCAGAAGAAGATTTGGATAAGACGTCGAAACCTTGAGACTTGAAATGACTTCACGACTGATATCAATTGGCCAATTCTCGACTCCACGCTCTCGCAATCTCTTCGTGAACAATCCACGAGCCTCAAGCAAACATCCAACTGGTCCTAAGAGAGGAGAAACAGACCTCCAAGCGCCTGGTGGGTTTCCCACACTTTCTTCCCGCCCAAAGAACCATCGATGGATCTATTCGAAGCTAAGCTCCCGTTATGGTTAGAATATGGGGTGGGAAAAGGGTCGCGCCCGGATCCCGGCTTCTTCTGTTTCCGGGGAGCCAAGGCTGAAAAGAGAAAAGATTCAAAAAAGATTGGATGGGGAAAAAAGGAAGGGAGAAGCAAGACAAAGGGGGCAGGTTGAGGCGTCTAGCACAATTACAGGTTTGGCCCCCTTGTTCAATGTGCTTTGCCTGGCGAACAACCTTGAAATTGCTTCGAGAGTGTCCTCGTGCTGGGATCAATAGATCCAGGGTAATAACAGTGACCACCCGTGGACGCCGCGTCGTAATCGGGTTTCCCTCTTCTCTCGCTCGCTCGCCCCCTGCCGTGTTCTTTTTTTGACACTAGCTTGCTTTTTGCTTTTCATTCAATTCATCCGAGTTCCGGATAGCTCTCCCATTATTCGATGACCTGGGACAACCTCTCTCCGAACCCGTGGTACCCATAAACAAGGGGCGCGAGCACCATCTCGTGAATAATACGTTTTTGATCCGTGAATGTTTGGCGACGGAGAAGAGAAGACAAGACCCCTTTCCACCCACTGTTTTCATCTCCTCTCACCGCGTGGAAATAATCTTCAGAAATAACACCTTGCCAGAAGACCAAGAGAGGACAAGGAGCACTGGGGATATGCACTGCAAGTACAACGTGCATGCAAAATCTCCAAGTGACATGCGCCAGCACGCTGGATCGGAGATCGGGTGAAAAGAAAAGCAAGTCCACGATGAAAAGGAGATCCCCTCCATCGCAGCGGGCATCTACTTGTTCCACTCCCCAATAATCATCCAAGCAAAGTAATAATAAGTGGAATCAATCCAAGCAGAGTTTTGATTCGGGCAGACGTTTTGCGCCGTGTCGCGCCATGCAACCCCCGCCACGCTTCCGCAACGAGATTAGCTCCTTAGCAGCTCCCCTGTCCTCTTTCGCTGGAACGGAGGGGAGGGGGAGAGAACATCACCATTGATGGGCAAGCGAGAGTTGATGGCGGATCCATCTGCCTCATTGTCAAGACTAGCAGGTGTGGAACAATAAGGCAGACTAGTACACAGGGCAAACAGAAAGGAGAGCTCAAATGATTGCTCCCGTCCATGCAGAGAACGAGCGACTAGTCCTCCTACCTCGGCAGGGGAGAAGACTCTTTGATATTAGACCAGCTTGATCGATTGCTCAGAGCCCCCTAGCCCATTTTCCCTAATCTGCGCTCGCCCCGGAGAAAATTGTCGTCCCGCGTCCCTCCCCCAATCGACCCGAAGCTGACGAGCTAGGGACAGACAAGCAAACCCCCGACTTCTCTTCTCGGCATCATCAATGACGCCGGTGGGGAGCTCCCTTGTCAAATTTCTCGAATAGATCAATTGGGTCCATCCAATGCAAATTGTTGATCCGGCAAGAACAAAGCAGCAGGGAGTAAAGATCTCCCCTCGCCCACATCTTTTGCGTGTGAAAACCCACAGCTTCGCCGATGTCGAGTCAACCCGTCCCGTCCCAATCACCGCCCACACAGATTAAATGACCCCATCCCAAGGAAGAAAAAGGGGAGCACAGAAAATCCCCAAAGCCTGGAACTCGCCGCCCCCAATCTGCAAGAACTCTCTGATCAAGGGTAACATTGAACCCAATGAACCCCGCCCCCTGTCAGTTCCACACACTCCTCTCTCTCGTGAATGGTAAATCCCCCCTCCCCATAGACACAACGCAACGCACAGCGTCGCCTCCTAATCATCCCGATCCACGGTACCGCACTTTCAATAGCTCGCCTTCTCCTTTTCCCTTTTCTCGCTAGTTTTGCCTAGTAATGCTTGCTTTAGATAAAAGAAGAAGAAAAATCATGATGCCACGAAACAATTCTGGCGTCTTCCCAAACGGCGAAGCACTTGTCTTGCTATCTTGTTTTTCCTTGCGATGATGCGGAAAGAAGAAAAGGCATGTTCCCGTCTGCCGATAGATAGCAGCAACACTAAAAGAAGTTAAGAACAAGGGAAGCCTTCATGGGAGGGCCCAGACGGCTGGGAAAAGCACCCTCCCTGTTCGCCAAGAACCCCCAAAATAGAGCTTCCATCCCGCTCCATAGTGATATGCTTGAAACTCCCAACGTCAAGGGACATGATCGCTTCGACCAAGGACAGTCGACACACAGACGAGCATCACGTATTTGCCAACAAGATCCGGGAGAGATCCATCCCCCAAAAGAAACACGGAACGAATACCAAAAGGTAAGGTCAATTAAATTATCCTCTTGCCTCCTCCTACACGTATTCAAGAAATTAGAGAGAAAACAGGACGACAAAAAACTCGTGTAGGAGGAGACGTGTGAGGTAAAGGAGAAGAGACCAGCAAGAACTAGGAGAAATGGTATATCTTGTATGTACGTTGTATCTAAAAACGAAGAAAGAAACTTATAGAAGGATAACACCTCTCCAGTCATAAATTCATACGCGTCATAGCTTTTGGAGCTCCGGCCAGTACTTGTAGATGCTGTCCATCATTTAGGCGTGAAAAAAGAAGAAGATGCCTCAAAAGGGGCTCGCTGGTCGTAACGGGGAGTAAGGAAGAAGATAACAAGCAAGGCCCTAAGAGGGCAAAAAACAAGACTAAACAAAAGTTGGCTAGAGGAGGGCGGTGGTTAACACATCCTCCCCTCACCATAAAACGAGGTGGTCAAGACTCCCAAACTCCAGGTGCTCCCCGCTTCCTGTTCATTGAAATGAAATCAAGATAAAAGAGAAGGAAAGAAAAAGAGAAAAAGACGTGTCGCTCTATTTCTTGTCCTTGTCGGTGCTCGTCGGAGCCTTTTCCGAGGCCGAGGCCGCGGCCGTCTCATCAACCCCGAGCGACACCGAATCTTTACGGGCACGTCCATCAGGCAGCGCTCGTAGGTAGTCGACCACCTTTTCCGCCGCCGCCCACGTCACGCTTTGTCGGCTTTCTCGTCGCCGTTGTCGCTGTCGCTCCCGGAGCTGCTCCTCAAGAGTAAGGTCGTCGTTGTCGCCGCCGCCAGTCCCCATCGCTCCGGGGAAAGGCATGGCCGTTGAGCATGATCTGGGCTCCACCTTGTGCTTCCGTGTCTGTGCGATCGTCATCGTCGGTATTCCTATTATTTAAATTTGAGTTGGAGTTCGAATTCGAGTTGGATCGTGAGTCGGGGCCTGATGCGTTCGTGCCATCCCCACCACTACCACCGCCACCACTGCCACTGCCACCGCTCCGGGCACCACCACTCTGCTCATCCCCAACGATAGGATCTACTAGCGCTCGAGCATCCCGGACTACCATCAGGAAAAGGGGGTACACCCCGGTCACGAACTGCAGGACGGCCACAACCACATACGCGAGCTGCACCGAATCCGTCCGCTTGATGATGGCGTACATGACAAACGGGAAAAAGTCGGCCCCGAAGCACCCATGGTGATGAACGCCGCCGCCCGCTTCGTCCGTCTCCCTTGACCCCGCAGTCCCAGCGAGAAAATGAGCGGCCAACACGGACCCTCGGTAAAGTATAATAGGATGATGGGAATCGCCGCTAGGTTTGGGTTCTTTGGTCGCAGCACCACCGAAAGTAGCGCAAAAATGGCTGACAACGAGACGCAAATCGCTAGGAGCGTGCGCGGTCGCGGCAGCCTCTGGTTCGACAAACCCTTGTACAAAATTGCGGCTAGGATGAAGCGCGACACCGTGAACCCAGACTGCGCGATCAGGAGGTAGTCGGGGATCGACATGACAAGGCCGGGAAGCTTGTTGTTGGAGAAGCTGCGCTCGTCGTCCAGTGAGGTCTCGGCCGCCTGCCGGTCGCTTGTCGGAAGCGCCGACACCAACAGCTGCCGGAAGAAGCTACTGGCTCCCTCCTGCGCCGCCATGTACGTCCACAACCCAACAACGGCGAGGACGAGGGACCACGTGCGGAGCTGGAAGCCGCCAATGCTCCGCTTTTGCGGGTCGACCGGCAGCCGCTTCGAGGCGGCGTCGAGCTCGCTATCGCACACTTCCGGCAGTGGCATGTAGTAAAAGAATAGAGCAAGGATAACGCACGCGAGCGTGATGGCCAGATACGTCCACTGCACGTTGATGAGCGTCATCGAGTTCCAGTTCGTGTCCGGCTCCAGCCCCGCGAAGAAAACCTTGGTCGCCAGCACCGTAGCAATGACGCTGCCGATGGCCTGAACCCCTTGCGCTAACATGAGGCGAAGGTCCGCGTATTGCGGCGGCCCGCAGAGGACCAGAAAAGCGTTCGCGCCCGTCTCTAAGATGGATAAGCCAAAGCCGACGACAAAGTGGCTGAGCATTAGACCGCCAAATGACTGCGTCACCGCCGAGGGCCAAAACACAATAGTTCCCACACCGTAAAAGCAGAGCCCAACTATAAAGGTCACCTTGAACCCGCCAATCCCCTCCTTCCCCTTGGCCCTCTTGCTCGGTGTGCGGTGGTGTTCGTCCCGCCGCAGGATCCACTCCCCCACCAGCAGCGGACCGAAGAAATAGCCGCCGCCAAAGTAAATGCTGGTCAACGCCAGCGACTCAACCGTTGACATTCCAATCGTTATCAGCACCGCGTTGTTCAGCGCGCTGAGGAACCCATACGACATGCCCCATAGCAAAAATAACACAGTCACGGCCGTGCAGTACTTCCACGACTCCGCTACCGAGCACCGCAACATACTTTTGGGCTTCTTCATGTTCACAAACCCAAAGTATACGGCGCTTTCTTGACGAGAAGAGTAGGAATTCGTGTTCGCGAGTCCCTGTAGGGTCGAGCGTCTTCGCCGCTCCTCGGCGGACGGCCGCGACTCAAAGGCGAGGTGGGGAGGTCCGACGTCCAGAAACCCAGATCGCCGGTATTGATCCCCGGCAATAGAGCCCCTGGCCCTCGGCCCGGGCGAATCCCAGGCGTGGGGGTTCACTCGGAGGGCTGAGAGAGTCCCGTCGGTGACTGAGGACGGGCGACGCACCCGCCATGAGGGCCGAGTTACGTCCGTTGGGCAACATGATGGAATTCCTCTCTTTACCATCAGTCGTGGCCGACGGGTTCGAAGAGCCGCCATCCGGGCCCATGATCATGGAAGGTAGAATCTTGCTGATCAAGGGCTTTAGGGTGGGAATGCACGCGCAGGTCATACCAACATTGACCTCAACCGCACTCCACATCAGGGACAAGGATGCATTGAAGGCAAACTCCTCTTGGCCAAATTTGGAGTTGGGGTCGTCGGAGAGCGAGGTCGGCGCGGACCAGATGGCCTGTTGCAGGTAGTAGATGCGCACCACGTCGACAATGGTGACGAAGACACCCAGCCCGAACGTGAGTACTAGAATGGTCTTTTGCCGCGGGGGCAGGTTCATGCCTGTCAAGACAGGGATGGGAAGGGCCAATATGGCGAGATCGGTCACAATATTGACAGGCGAGGCGCAGATAAACTCGGTCAGCAGAGGAATGCACTTGCTGCCGTCCTCCCAGGTGGACCACGCGGAGCTGATGGGCTGACACTGAAAAATGTTCATAAAGGTCAAGACGGTGCCGGCGATGTTAACGATGGCCAACGTGACCCATGAGGCAAGTCGGAGGACTTTTTGCGCATTCTTTGATATACGGAGGTAGAAGATTAGAATACTTGTTTTGGTGGCCATCAAGGCGGGATTCTGCGGCACCGGGTCTGAATTAGTACTCGTCATTTGGTAGGAGGTGGAATGGCAAAATGGCAAAGAGGGGGGCAAACATACGTAGAGAATAGAGAAAACATACTGGCAGCGCCGCAAGGCACCCCAATCTTCTTCAGGAATATCTACATCGTGACGCCCAAGTCCCTTGCGCGCGCCAAAGTTGATGGTGAAGGAAAGGCCGAAAGCAATAAGCCAAGCGAGAAGAATGATGCGATCATCCCAGCTGATATTTTTTACGATGAAGCGACGGCAGACGAGCCTAGCAACAACGAAGACGGTGGCAAGGACGAGAGTGGCGGTGGTTACAGCGAAGACAGCGGGGCCGCGGTCCTCGATGGCTGCGCGTTCCGCAGCCAGCGATGCAGACATGTCGAGCGGGCGATGCTGCGTTTAGATAGGTGAAGGAGACGAGACGTCAAGAAGGGGGTCGCTGTAAATGCGCGAGTGCGCGGGTGCGCGCGCAGGCGCTTACCCTCGTGAAACAGGGCCGTGACGTGAAGGGGTTGTCCGGAGCGCCCACGGAGTTGATATGTTGGGTGTGGGTGTGAGTTTCAAGGTACTAAAGTCGAAGGTTGCCATGACTCTCCTTCTCCGATCGATAAAAGAGGTTGCAAACACTTTTGGACAAGTGGGTCGGCGACTACAAGTTGCGCCAGGGACTACCAGCCTCCAAGTGACTGATGTTCTACCTTTGAAAAAGATTCCCCGTAGGGTATCAATCCTAGTGGTGGGGCATGAAGGCGTGCGGCTGGGTTTGGCGATTATGGTTGTCAGGCCCCGAAGAACGAATGGTACCCGTAAAGGAGGAAGAGAAAGATAAGTGGTAAAAGGAAGGGGGAATAAGATTTTTCGAGGGCTTCGTCAACTGCAGTCAGGCTCTCCAATGGCAATTCAAACAGTCGTGCAGTTTGGCTCTGAGACGGGCTCAAGATCAGGCACGGGATCGAAATACTCTGCGTGGGGGTGCTTTGCTCCCTGGCCCAAGCGGGTAAACAACAGAGGAAGTTGGAATAACAGGCCCGACCCTCCGTCAGCCTCAGTCTTCACTATAATTGATGATCGGCGTGTAGCTTCGAGGTTGACGATGCCGATGCCGATGCCGCCGTTGTTTCCAGACGTGGGTGGGTCTCCTGTCGTCACAGTCTTTGGTAAGCAGCTTTGGAGAGCGTGGATGGATCAGCGCTCAAAGATGTCTCAGGGCGGTCCGGTGTCGAAGAGAATGAACAGTGACAGAATGCGGGTCTCGGATTGAAAGCTCAGAGATGTCGCGACCGAGAGATTGTGCGCCGCGCAGACCTACGGAATGAGGAGGAGAGGAATATGAGGAGAAGAAAGGGGGAAAGGAAGAAAGAAATGGTAATACGAGAAAACCCCATCCAGAAAAGAAGATCGCAGGGCTCCTTCGTAGGTGTCCACTCAAAAATTCGCGAGGCTAGGGAATTGATATTATTATATCAAGGATGGATGGGGAGGTTTTTTGGGTCCCGTGGGGTCAGTGCGCGAATAAAGAGGAGCCAGGTCGTCAATCTGGGATCGTGAGTGCAGCTCGAGGCACGACAACGGCGAGAGATATTAATCAATGTTTTCTTTCCGCCTCAATTGTTTCCCGGACTGAATAAGTAGTGTACGAGGCGACCCGATCGATATCTATCTGAGGTGTGGAGGGCAGAAGCCAATCCAGGAGTATATTACTGGGGGCGGGAAGATTGAGGGTGGGAGGAATCTATCAGCAAAGCAAAATGTCAGGTTGTGTGGCCGAGCCGAATGAGGAGAAAGCAAAGGAGATCAGGAAAAAGAATTTCAAGCCTGGGGGACAAAGATGTGAGAGAATCGGAAGAAAAAATAGCCCGGCTTCAACGGCACTTGCCTGGCTAGGAAACCTGACGGGTCGGGCGGGTGGAGCAATTGGTTCAAGCTTGAGCGCGAGGCCGATTCTACCACCGGCAATGCCAATGCCAAATCGTTCAAATTTCATTGACAAACCACTCAAGAATGTTGGGCGACAAAACTAGCTTGGTTGGGGCTGGCTTGACGGTCCTGAGGCGGCAGAGGAGAAGCTGGCATTCGGCGCTAAAGATGCGTGGAGCTTCTCGGGCCAAGCAGGCAGGCAAGCAGCGGAACATCAATTGGAAGCACCCCCAAATTCCTCCTCCTCCCTCCCCCTTGCCAGCTCGACAACACTACTGACCCGCTTGGGTTGGAGCCAGGAATCTCGAGGAATTGTTCTTTTTGCCCGTTTTCGGCAAAAAGTGGGCGGGCGAGCGGGCGCAGCGAGACCAAGGCCATCCGTCCAAGGCGCCAAGCAAGGATTGAAGATTTGAGGCCCCAGCAGACGTCAAGACAAAGACAAGAGGTTCACGCCCGGGGAGAGAGATAATTATTGACCAGGCAGTGCAAATGGGAATGATCCGAGGCGAGGTGGGAATGACGGGGTTGGGATAGAGGCGAAGAGCGAGGGAAGGCTCATTCAAACGAACAAAAAATCATGTTGTCTAGGATCGTACCGGCAAGTCCTTTCCCTGGGTTTCAATCTTTTTTGCCTTGTTTTCGTGTCCAGCGCTTCAAGAGGGATGGGAAGGGTCTTTGGGAAACCGGAGCCTCGAATCGCCAAGCGAGGAGAGCGGGGAAGTGGGAAGGCAGTACTCACACAACTCGCAGCGGGGAGGAGCGGAGCGGGAAAAGATTTCTCGGGTCGGTCGACGGGCAGGAGCAGTCAACTAACCGTGTGATGTGGAAAGTTCAGTCGAGGAAAGAACCTAGGAAAAAGAGGAGACCCTGGGATGAAAAGACACGAATGAAGCGCGGGGGTCCTAGTCTGAGATGAAGAGGCGGTCTATGGGCCAATTTTCCCTTTTGAGAAGTGATAAATATTTTATATCGTCGTGTCTTTTGGTTTCGTCCCCTCCCGGTCGACGGCTGCATCACAACATATTGGATGTAGCTAATGCGTGGTTCGAAGGATCCATGCCTATTTTTCTTTCGGGTGATCAACGTCGCTTCACTCGAATTGTTGTCCTTGTCACCCGAAAAGAGCAGGTCAAGCAGGTCAAGTTGGCCAAGCAGGTCAAACAAGATATTGATCTACTCTTCTCCCCCTGTCGCCGTTCGAGAATCCAGTTGAGTTTCCCTCTTGGCTGTGTTCCTCACGCTCGTGGGGCCGGGGGCAAGGATGGAAAAGAGACGAACCACATGTAGGCAAAGAAGACACCGCTGGCAAGTGGAGAGCGACACAGAGACAAGGAAGAAAAAAAGCTAGCAAAGGTAAGAAAGGCCAACGGGCCGTGGTGCAGGATGCAAGCAAGGGGGCCAAGGCAGTCAAATTCGGTGACCATAATTGGCCTCGCCAGCTCTGGCTCAACGCAGGACAACTGGCAGAAAAGCAAGGCGGGCGGCAAGCGGGTCAAAGTGATGCGTGCATGCTTTGCCCGGCGAGGGGGTCCTCGGAGGGAAGAGGAAGAAATTGAGAGGGTGGAGGGGGAATGGATGTGATGTGACCAACAGCAAATGGGAACCTCAGACAGGAGGGGCTAGGTTGGCCACCTTGAACGCTTGATGCGGCGGGCAAGACGAATGAGGGGATGGCCCACAGGCCGTGGATTCACGAAGTTCGACTTCTTGCCCTTGGTGACAGTTTGTGGGACTTGACGGATTGAGAAGAAGACCATTGAAAAGAGAAAGAAAAGAGAAAAAAGGGAAAAAAGACAAGGGCTAGCGCCATGCTAAGTTGAAGCAAAATGGCCCGCCGGTGATGGGCGTTACCGTACCTGGCCGATGATTTGGGCAGCAGCGTGGCGATACAAGGAATCAAGGCTCAAGACTGGGACCGCCTTGATGGCCGCCAAAGATGGCCCCCGGAAACAATGGGCCGGCGATAGAGGATGGCTGCTGTGGAATGAATCGAGGAAGTAGCCTTCTCGGACACGAGACACGAAAGGGACTGTCGTCGCGGAGTGTCGTCCGCCTGTTCGTCCTCCTTCACGGAGCCCCAAGCCTTCAAGTTTAAAGATCAACGCACGCAGACACGACTGAGGGTTTGGTTTCCTTGGTCGGTCCGTTCCGGGGCGGCCTCAACCAATGAATGGGATGCAAGACTCGGAGGCGGGGGCGTAAGACGTGGGTGCTTGAATGTCCGCCTGTTCGCCACGCGGGGTACCATGCGGCAGGCCGGTCGCGATTTAGGGGTGGTTGGCGGCCTTGCTTTGTTTTGCTTTTCTTCCCTTTCTCTTCGCCAGTTTGTATCTTGTTAAAAATTACCAGGGTGCTATTGTGTGATTCAGCGTGATAACTGACTTGTGTGAGCGCAGGACAGGCGGTCAATGATGTCTTCTGCCTTGGGCGAGGATTGGCAACGTACAACATGACACCGCCAGCTCGTGCGACAAGAGGCCAAAAGTCAGGGTCCTGCTTGGAGATGCCGATTGCGGTAAATCCTCACATGATGGGCTTCAAGTCCCTACATCCATGTATGGGTTCTATCCCCCTCACGCCCCTTATTCTACATGTCCGATCGGCATCACACGTCGCTCCCCTCAATGTTCCTTCAATGGGTAGCGGTCACGCCTCTTCCATTGATACAGACGAGATTTGGATGTTGTAATGAGGCTCGGGCTCTGGCCCATCAATAGAATCCAGTGCGCACTCACTCATGAAAGAAAAACCGTCTTGGCTTTTCTTTTTCTGCTGCGCAGGTTGAGATCGGGTCAGTTGAGCAACCCCCTCGATCCTCACTTGCGCATTGCATATGTCAACGCCGTTCTCATGCACACCCATCAGTCATTCTCGACCACTCGGAGCATTACACACCGTTGCAGGTTTCTACATTTTTACGTTTCTACATCCAACTCTTCACAGTCACTTCACCATGAATCCCAAAGTACTCTTTGCGGGGCCTGAGGTAGAATAGGAGGGGGTTGGAGAAGAGCAACAGGTAAGCAAGAACGGTAAATAGCCCAGGTGCCAGGTTGACAGGCGCGGACAAGGAGGGGGCAAGGGGGCAAGAGCGCAAGGAGGCATCCACACAGAGGGGAGAAAATAGAAGGGTACATCTTTGAAGAGATGGTGAGAGTAAGATCGCTTGTCCAACGTTGGATTTTTGAATGTCAGGATGATTGTCACCACCTCACTCGTTTTGTCCCACCACCGAGACGTCATCGATTTGTTTATCAGCAAGCCCCCCCATCTTCTCTGCCCCATTGCTGTCTTCTTTTCCGCCCTCGCGCTACCCAATCTCGGCCTGGGTGCGTGTGTTGAAGGGTTGGGGGCGGGTGTGAGAGCCACATCTTTGGATGATTGGGCTAGCCTTACCTAGCATTACAAACTGGGGCTGGATAGAGTCTATACCGTTTTTCTTCTTATTTTCCCAAGCCCTC